GTTTATATTTTCCAAAACAGCTCACCACACCCTGCTGAAAAATCCAGCTTAAACCAGCCTAGGCTGGTTGGCTGGTTTTAGCTGGTTGACCAGGCTGGTTTTAGAGGGGTTTTGGCCACTTCCAGGCTGGTTTCCAGCCATTTCCAGCCTGGTCTTAGCTGGTCAGGCTGGGAGATGACCAGCTAAAACCAGCTTGACCAGCCTAGCCAAGCTGGGAGACCAACCAAAACCAGCTATATCCAGCTTAAACCAGGCTGTTCAAGCTAGTTTTAGTTGGATTTGGCTGGTCATTTTCCAGCCTGACCAGCTAAGACCAGGCTGGAAATGGCTGGAAACCAGCCTGGAAATGGCCAAAACCCCTCTAAAACCAGCCTGGTCAACCAGCTAAAACCAGCCAACCAGCCTAGGCTGGTTTAAGCTGGATTTTTCTGCAGGGCAGAGTTATGGGAGCAGAAAAATATCAATATGTAAACATGTTTTATATTTTAAATTAGGAAAATAAACATGGGTTATGAATGTGACAAAAAAAGTTTGCAAATTTACAGTCGACAACAGATTATTTAGAAATTCTGACAGTTAAACTGCACAACCCAAAATAAACAATGCTCATCAAGCAGGTATGAGTCGGCTCACTATAGAATTAAAGTGATTGATTTTATTTTATTTGACATTTTTGCATTTATGAAGAAAAAGTGTCGTTATGGATGTGACACATTTCCGTTATGGATGTGACAGCCGTGAAATTGCCACTTGTGTGATTTTGGCAAATTAAATATAATAGTTTGAAATACTGACAGATACATTTATGAGTATTTTTAAAGTACTGTAAAATACTTGCTAACACAAAAAATGTAGAAACGGTTTCTCTATTTTGGTGAAAACTAAATTATTTTTTATGGCAAGGTTGACATTTGTATGGAATTGCCCTTATGCAGAGTGACTTAAAGCAGGCCATGGGCGTAAATCTGATTTAACAGTAGGGGGGGACAATAAATATAAAATTTCTTTCAAGCATTTTTTTGAAGGGGACACAAATAATACAGCCGAATTTTACTAATGAAGATATGTTCCCACAGTTAAAAATGCTTCTATCATTATTATTATTATAGCATGGAGACTACGTCATTATGATTATTGTTAAGTTTTTCTCGGCTTCAATGACTGCAAATTTTTCTTCAAAACTATTTATTGCATTGTGTGTTGTGTTGTTTACTGTCAACAGTCTGACTCCTGAAGCAGAATAAATGCAAGAACGTTTTCCATGCTCATAATAACTATCTTGTTTACATTACACTTGTTAAAATGACTGATCATATTGTAAATCAGTGAGCCTGTGAAATCTGCTAAACAGCCACAACTCCAAAAACATTAAAAATAATTGTTCACCCTCCAAAAGTATTGTCATTATCCCTTCAATAAAGCACAACACCCTTACCTGACACTGTACATCTGACTGACCCTGCTCTGCCTGTTCCTCAATCATTTCTTTCTCCTTTGCCTGTGATTGATAATGTGACATTAGTATTTTCATAAGCACTCATTCTTAAAGCCAAATTGCTTAATATGTGAACTTTTTGGCGTTTAGCTGCACTGAAAAATGATCTTATTTCCATTTTCTCTGTCATTTTATCCAATGCATGACACTGCCAGGCAAGTTTATGCTGTAGCACATTTTATACACCATGGTAATTCAAAGTACTTTGCATAATGCAAAACTATTATAAAAATGATCACAACAATAAACGCAAGGAATTACAAAATGTTAAGATTTTAATTTCAAATTAATTGAGTCACTTAACAGAATAGAAATTTATTATGCAAAAAATAGAGTGGGGCAGTATGAATAAGCATGTTGATATTTTTTTTTTTCGAACAAACTATTCTTTTATTCTATTCTTCTTTTATTTAGAAAAGAAGAAATTTACTATATAAATCAGGAAGTAATCTGTAGAAGACTGGAATACAAGAATATACAATTACAAAGTAATAAGAACAATAAGTAAAAAGAAAGGAGTAATAGAAAGAAAATAAAAAAGAGGACAAAATGAGGAAAGTACAAAATTAAATTAAATTAAAAAAATACAGAAAGCAAAAAAATAACATTTTTAAATACAGAAAGCATTATTTACTAACATACTGGAAGCATGATATTTTCATAAGTTTCTATTAACTTGCAGAATTTCTTGTTGGTAGATAGACGTATAGCTAGGCCCACACGGAATCTGCGCGTGCAGAATTCCGCAGATTTTCCGCCATTTTCCGCAGATTTCTGCCGATTTTGAGAACATAATTAATTCTGTTTATTTACTTGAGTAAATGTGTAAATCTGAATTTATTCAGTTTTTATTCAGTAATTTATTACTTTTTATTTCATATATTAAGGTTTTAGTTATGATACTCGCTGGATGCTCCCAAAATAATTCTGCAGAAATCCGCAGATTTTTACCAAAATTCTCTGCAGAAATAGCAAAAATTGTCCGCAGATTCCGTCTGGCCCTACATATAGCTTTAAGCATGGAATCAATTTCGATTAAAAAAAATGGGCAAACGAGGGAGAGGATTTAAGAAATTTTTGTTTGTGGATGTTTCAAAGTTGTACTAATGTTTTACTAAGAGAGCATAGGGTCACTTCCTGATGACAGAAATGTAGTTTAGTGCAGTAGGAGAATCCACTGTGCTGTTTTTTCTTCTCTAATGCAACGTGGTGGCTTTTGGAGGTATGAGACGCTCTTTGGGAGCACAGACAGATGCTCAAAAGAGTCCTTGAGGGATTAATAATTTAATAATAATAATAACACTGAAGCACTGTGATGACGGACTGATGGTTCAGAGGTTTTAAAAAGAGCAAAATAACATTTTTCAGTTTTACAATGTGCTCGAAATGCTAGTTGGAGCATTAATGCGTCCCATCACAAATTTTTATCATCACATGATCAGTTCAAACTAAATCACATCACTTTAAAACTTTTACAATAATTCCACAGAGAGAGCACTCTTCTAATTCAGCATATTTCATGTTCTGAGGTGGATTTGGTGGATTTTCTGTGGGTTTCTCCAGCGTGACGGGTCAGAACGTGTGGACCATCCATCAGCTGAGGAGTACAGCTCAGCGCTCTTCAAAAACGGGAGATCCATCACCAAACACATGCGCTTGTCATCGGGACGTATGAATGGATGAGCGGACAGGAAGGCCTGTTTATCAGGCTTACTCCACGTTTGCAGAGCCCAGGCAATAAATCTGACCGTGTCAAAGCACATCGCCCACATTCACGGACGAGCATCTGCCCACAGAAACCTGAGGAGAACAATCTGAAACACCTTACATAACAGCGCCTGAGTGGGTAAACCAACAAACACTGGCAGCACCACTAGATGCTAAACTCAATTAGCAGCTTCAGCTGAATGACACATTAAGCTACACAGAAGACATGCTAACACAAACTTACCCTGAAAAAGACGCTCATTTTTTTAATCTTAAATTTCAAACACTAAAATTATGACTTGCCAAAGTAATTGCTACAGAATTATGCAAGTGTAAATAGCAGCTAAAACCAGCTACCCTTTTAAACAGTTGTTAGCTACACTCACAACTGTTTACAAGCTAAAACTATACAGCTTATAGCAGTTAGCTATCATATACTTTTATAAGTTTGCTAGTTATTGTTAGCAGCTTCACTTGAGTTAGCTAGTTAGCAAGAGTTCATTTGTAGCTATGTACCTACTTTTAGCTGTGTAGGCTACGTTAATAAGTTCGATAGGTTCTGCTAGTAGCCTAGCCATATACTTTCAATACTATTTTTAGCTTGTACCTTCATTGTTAGCTACTTTTGCTAGAAGATATTGCACTTAACTAGATTTTTATCATTTGTGGATTTGTTCGCTAGTTCGCTTGTAGTGCTGTTGTTAAGGTTTTACTAGTAGCTATGTACCCATTTTAGTTTTTTAAATCAATGAGAGTTGGATAGTATCTGCTAGTAGCCTAGCCATGTACCATAAATACTACGTTTTAGCAATGTACCTTTATTGCTAGCTACTTTTTCTAGCAGATAATGCACTTAAACTAGATTTTTATTACTAGCAGATTTGTTTGCTAGTTTTTAGCTGTGTGCCTTTATGCTTTTAGCAAGATTTCACTAGTAGCTTTGTACCTATTTTTAGTAATTTGATAAGTGTTGGATAGTTTCTGCTAGTATATTTATCTTGTAGCTGCTTTTGCTAGTAGATATTGCAGTTAGCTAGATTTTTTATTACTAGCAGCTTTGTTCGCTAGTTTTTAGCTATGTGCCTTTATTCGATAGTTTCTGCTTATAGCCTAGCCATGTTATTCTTTAGCATTATACCTTCATTACTTGCTACTTTTGCTAGCAGATATTGCAGTTAGCTAGATTTTTATTACTAGCAACTTTGTTTGCTAGTTTTTAGCCATATACCTTCTTTGCTGCTAGCAAGATTTTACTATTTACATATTTTAGTACATTATTAAGAGTTGGCTAGTGTCCACTGGTAGCCTAGCCATGTACCTTCAATACTATTTATTTTAGCATTGTACCTCCATTAAGTTTTTGCTAGCAGCTGTTTGCTAGTTTTTAGCTATGCACCTTTATTCCAGTTAGCTACTTCTGATAGTAGCTATTAGCTAGTTTTTTTTACTAGTAACAATTGCAGTTAGCTATTTTTTCCAGTAGCTATGTTAGCTAGTTTTGAACTATGTATCCTAATATGATTTGGTTAGTTTTTGCTAGTATTTGTACCTTCCTCGCTGTAGCTTTCATCGATCATAAAAGATTAGCCATTATTTATTTTAGTTAGCTAGCTCGTTTTTGTCTGCTTTTTAGAATAAGCAACTAAGTTTTCCCTTTAAACTAGTATATTTAAACTAAGTAGCTGTGCAATAAATAGTTTGTGGATTAACTATGTTGCAATCTCCTTTTTAAAGAGTAACCTAGCTATTGTTGTCTAGCTAACAAAGTAAAAAATCAAAATCAACACATTATTCGTTGTGAATAATGAAGCATGGAATAAATTTATTTTACATTTCACGTTTTCGGATAATCCAGGTCTACAATCAACCAGCTCAATTTAATGTAGAGGGAGCCATTTTGGCTATTTTTAGCCCCAAATAACAGAGACGTGAATGAATAAAAATAAACTAACAATCTGCTGAACTCTCTCAAACATCAAAGATACAATCCGTCATTGATAAAACTACACAACCCGATGAAACGGGAGCAAATCTTTAATAAATATAGACACACTGACGGCCTGCAGCAACTCCAGATTGTATCTCGATTTAAGGGGATTTAATAGAAATTGCATCTGTTATAATCATTATTAAACATGTTACTGATAAATTTAGCAGACTGGCACTTGATAACCACTCAACGTTACGTAATCCTTCTGGACAGATGGTACAAACAAAAAAAGTCTTTTAGTCTTTTCGACAGTTAAGTATCCGTCCAATGGCGTGAGTCCAACCGGCGGCCATTTTGGCTCAACAAGAGCAAACCTGCAGTCTAGTCAGGGTTCCTGGAAGAGCTCTGGAAGAAACCAATGGGGGCGGGGTTATGTAAAAGAAACTGATGTGTGTGGTCACGCCCCCTCAGTTGAGCCACGCCCTCCCCTTTATTGTGGTCTTAAAGAGGCAGTACTTAAAGTATCTGCTCAGTGCTGGAAGCGGAAATGTCCAGGAGTCTCCAGGCGGCGTTAGGGTTCAGTTCTTCCTGATCCCGACACAGAGCCCAAACATACATCATCCTCAACACTTTGTCCTATGGTAACAAAAAAATAAATAAATATGTTAACACTTTAGTTTATGTCACAAATCACAACAATAACAAACCATTAGCTAACACTGCTAGATTAATAAATTGCTAATTAGCTGTTTATTATTAGAAAAAATAATATTAAGGTAACACTAGTTTAGGTCACAATTCCAGCATTAACAAACTATAAGCTAACACCGCTAGCTTAATAATAAACTACTAATTAGCTGTTTATCAATAGAAAAAATAAGGCAACACTTCAGTTTAGGTCACAATTCATGGTATTAACAAACCTTTAGCTATCACTGCTAGCTTAATAAACTACTAATTAGCTGTTTATCAAGGATTAGTAATGTGGATAGGATTAGGGATGCAGAATAAGATCATACTTTATAACTACAAGTGTTGTCACAATACTGGAATTTGGTACCAATCGATACTAAAAAATGTTAAGAACGTTCATACCCGCTAACACTAGCACGTTCTTAAATGCCGCTTATTCACCATTGTGTTCACATGCTTAACAGAAATGACTGTGATTGGCCGTGAAGGTCATCAGTTCACCAAACTCACTGATGCTTACTGAGTGTAACTACAGATACAGGGACACTGGAGCGTTTTAAAGCCGCGATTCATCAGCGGATCGCTCGTATGTCAGTTTGATCGACATGACTTTGAAACGATCCAGTGTCCCTGTAATTGTGATTATCTGTATAAAATGTGTAGCTTTGTTCGCTAGTCTTTAGTTATGTGCCTTTATTGCTGTTATGCTGCGTTCACACCAGAAGCGGAACGTGCGTCAAGCGCGAGTGATTTACATGTTAAGTCAATGCAAACGCGCAAGAGACATCCTGCGGCGCGATACGCGCGAATGACGCGAATTGCGCGAATGGCGCGGTGCGAATAGCGCGATATGGGTGAGGCGAATTGAGCGTTTTGTGCGTTTGAGGTGCTTATTGAGTGTTTCGCGCGAATGTCTCAAGTTCGAAAATCTGAACTTCAGTGAACATTCGTGCCGCGTTAACCAATCAAAAGCTTGCTCTTGTGGGGGCGTCATTGTGACGTAGAACCTGTTGATGGTGTCCCAGGGGAAATCCTCCAGGCGACATCGACAACAGTTCATCAAACTGGGCTTGGCTCAGTCAGAAGCACTGCTGAAAGTCTCCGTCATCCAGGTTCAGTTTCTGGAGGAGTTTATGAGCTCACAGAGCTGGATGCACCTCTGAAACGATGTAGTGGACTCAGACACGACCCGGAACGTATCGACGCTGTTTTTCAGTATCCATAAAGCACATAAACACTGTTATTTTCTTAATAAAATCCATGTTAGCCATTAAGCTATGAAGCTACAGTCACCGGGCAGACAGAAAGCCCTGCCCATCACGCGAATCCACGTCTGTTCTGAAGCGGAATGAAGCGAGTAAACTCAAATGTTCACGCGGTTATTTACACGCGAATAGCGCAATTTATCGCCGCGTTCCGCGTCTGGTGTGAACACTGCATTATCAAGGTTTTACTAGTAGCTATAGACCAATCTTCAGCTATGTACATTAATAAAAAGTTTGTACAGTATTATTTTCTGTCTGTCTTTTACTAGACATATTATATAACAAACTTGCTTTACTTACCAAATAAAGTGAATCTAATTGGATTTGCATTTTAAACATTAAATAAAAGTTGAAGTTATTTCATATATTAAGGTTTTAGTTGAGATACTCCCAAAATTTTTCCGCAGAAATCCGCAGATTTTTTCCAAAATTCTCAGCAGAAATAGCAAAAAACGCTCGCAGATTCCGTCAGGCCCCAGTTATGACTGAATCACATCTTGTATGTTCTGAAATAGTTTGATGACAAGCAGGAACTGTTCATGGAACAGTGATATCGCCATATTGAAATGGTCTATATAAACATATTACATGTTTATTGAGAATTTGAAAGCAAATTTAATTGTACCGGTACCAAAAAAAAGATAAAGATAGAAACATATAGTATAACATATTTAATAATTATCAAAACAAGCAGTATTTTATCAATAAAAATATATATTTATGACCTGGAGATGTTCCGATCAGGCTCGTGTGAATCACACATTTTACAGCCCAATGTTTAAGCAGACTGAAAATGCACTTTAATATGGTCGTATTTAATCAAACCCCCGACAGCGGCGTGAAATAAAGCAGCGTTTCTAATATCCTCAGTCTGAACTCAATGGCTAGAAGAGCAGCGAACTGCAATAATTAACCACAAACTCTGAGGAAAAACATCCCCGGAGTGTCATTACACACGGCCTTTCAACAGATTTACAGCCGCTGATTTCAGCCTCGGCAGCTCCAGAGGCCGATCGCGTCATTGATTCAGACGCTAATGGCTAACGTCATGATGGCTAACTCACCGGGTCTCCCTCGACCACTTCACCCTTTACATTGCGGATCACCATCACTAACTGAGCCTGGAAGGTGATGATGAGAACCGGACCCTGCTCCATCATTTTCCCCATCGCGAGCTAACAAACAAAAAACAGAAGAGGAAGAGTTATTACATACACTCTACAGAAAACTGCACATAACGCATCTGTTTTTACAATTAAGTGTTTCCTTTCAGTTTAGACACAGAAACCAAATGTAATTTTAGCTTTTGTTTTCAATAAATACTTTTAATTTATGATTAAAATAGTTTTTCAGGATGAATTTGCTTGCCATTATGATGGAAGCCCTGCTTATAAACGCTGCGATACTCATTTGATGTCTCATATTGTTAACATGCGCAATACACGTCAGAAGGAGGCATAACGGCCTTCATCTGCTTTCAGATCTGATTATTCGGCATTATACGTGCATCAGGAAGCTCTTACAGAGTTATCCAGCCATTAGCATGCAGCAGATGGATTTCTTTTTTTTGTACTCACGTCAATATTATCAATGTCCAGGATCTTGGAGTGAAACTGAAGCCCCATCGCTTTGGCCTGTTGGATTGGATGAGCCAGCTGACTGTACGTCTGAAATAAAACAAAACAAAAAAGTCAATTATTTTTGGCAGGTGGAAATTATTGGCTGAAAATTAGATTTTTTGTATTTGGTCGAAAAAGAAAAACATAAAAAATATGAGGCAAAAAAAGGTATAGTGTGCCACACTGTTTAGTATGCTGGTTTTGACGCTCCTTCCAGGCTTGACGCAATATAACCACTTTTACTCAAGGTCTATTTTAGTAAATAAAAACTAAGACTAAAACAATTGGTCAAGAACACTTAAAATAAATAAATAAATAAAAAATTATATATAACAAATATATATATTTGTATTTATTTATTTATTTGTTCATTTATATTCATTTATTTATTTATTTATACAACAGTTCTGTCTGGTTCTTGAATCTGATTGGCTGATAGCCATGAGATAGTAAAGTAATATCCACACTCGTACAGTAATCTGGTAGTCTTTGCTTTGACTTTTTCAGGGTTAATTATTGTGATCTCCCGATTGCAACAGAGAAATACTGGGAGAGGATTTAATGCGGTTCAGCCTTATAAACTCAAAATTTTGTCATCACTATAGACATTATGCTAAAGAATCCTTCAAATACTAGCTTTAAAGTGACAATTGTGAAGTAGCAACGGTTTCTGCTGTTCTGACGTCAGCTGCAGATGTGTACGAATGGTGTAAGAAAGTAGTTCCTCTCACAAAAGGGTTTTTGAGACTCTGTGTTTGATTTTCTTTTTTATATATACGATTATGTGGTCGAACTAAATGCAACATTACACTTATAGCAGTGCAATATGGCTGTATATCATCACTGGTATATCACCAGTGTGATATTGCGTTTATAAAACAGTTTGACGTGTAAATATATATATATATATATATAAATAAAAAAAATTTAATCAAGCATGATATAGTTTTTATATACAAAACATTTTAAACATAAAACATGATTATCTTTTCATCATCTGACAAAAAATGTGAATTTTTTAAACTTTATTTATTTATATTTAATAATTTCATCATATTATCCTATAAAAACTGTAATAAATAAAAAAAATAAAAACTTTAAAACGTAAAACTATATTAACCTTGGTTCACACTGGATGCAGAAAGCAGTGCGCTATGAAACCCATTCATTTCAATGGCTAGTGCCATGCAAGTACAGTTTGCTGCTGTGCTGACCAAAGCACAAGAGCAGGATAAACACAGAATAACACTGACTAGCTTGTGCGCATGCCCTGGGCAAAATTCAATATTCTGCTTAGTGTATTTTCTGCTAATGAACATGTACACTTACACATCCATGAAGTAAACATGCTCACCGGAAAACATTTCTAGTTAGTATACTTGTTCCTGCTGCTTGCAATAGAGCTACAATCTTGTCATGGCAACGCTGGTAATATGACGCCCCTTGATTCGTTCACTGTCAATAAAATGAGGTTATTTCATTGGCTTGTGTTTATTTAATCAATATAATTTACATCATCAAGTTAACTTTAAAAAATTTATACAAAATTACTTTATTTTATTTAATAATATAATAAAAACGTCTAAAAAAAATTTGTTTTTATGTCAAGAGCATTCAGAATTTTCGATTTCAGCACATCGCTTATTTGTTAGGTTTTTTATTGCCAATCGGCAACTTACAATTATTTCATGGCAAGATTAATATTACATAATAATAACTTTTTATAATACAATAAATATAAATAAATAAATATATACAACCACATACATGCATACATAAAACAGATTTGATTTTTCCATTTCGATAGGACTCTTCCAAGGGACACATTTTAAGAAAATCTTTTCTCAATATATAAACATTCTCTAGTAGTCTTTACCATTTGACATTCTAATAAAACGTGTTATATGGTGATGAAGGTTAATGGCTAGTAAATGTGTGATATTTGACGTGTGGAGACTCACAGCCTCGTAGCACCAGTCCTTCAGCACATCCAGCTCCCCCTGAATCATGGCCTGTGAACAGAGCGAACGGTCAGCGAGCGCTCAGATGTTTCAGAGCAAGGCATGCTGGGTTATGAGCGTCTTACCTCCAGGATGTTGGGAATGATGTCTTTCTCGCACTGCTTCAGGAAAGAGTCCTTGTCGAAGCTCGGGTCCACCTTCAGGATCTCAGTCAGAACTTCAGACATCTCCGTTTTAGAGAACAGACCGCCTAAAAAACAGAAAACACTATATACAGTATTTGTCTATATACATGTCTATCATCTGTCTATATGTCTGTCTATATACATGTCCATCCATCTATATATACGTCTATCACCTGTCTGTATATGTGTGTGTGTGTGTGTATATATATATCTGTCCATCTTTTTATACATCTGTCTGTATATGTCTATACATGTCTATCCATTTGTCTATATACATGTCTATCATATGTCTATCCATCTTTATATGTCTATCCATCTATCTATATACACATATATCCCTTTATATACATGTTAATCATATTCTGTCTATCATTTGTCTATATATCAATGTATCTGTCTATCCACCTGTCTATATATCTGTATGTATATCTGTCAATCCATCTCTTTATATATCTGTCTGTATATGTCTATCCATCCTTCAATATACGTTTCGCATTTGTCTATATATCTGTAAATGTATTGGTCTATCATCTGTCTGTCTCTCTATATAAATGTCTATCTTCTACATATATGTCTATCTTTCTATCATCCTGTCTATACATACACACACATATATATATTATATATACACATATGTATGCATGTATGTATGTGAGTATATATATATCTATCTATATACATGTCTATCATTTGTCAATATATCTGTATATGTCAATACATGTCTATATACATGTGTATCATCTGTCTATCCATCTATATACACATCGGTCATGTCTATATATCCGTCAATCCATCTATAAACATGTCTATCATTTGTCTAAATATCTGTCAATGTATCTGTCTATCACCGGTCTCCACCTGTCTATATATTAACATATATCTGTCTGTAAATGTCTATACATATGTCTATTATATGTCTATATAAGTCTAAATATCTGTCTATCATCTTCTGTCTATATATATATATATATATATATATATATATATATATATATATATATATATATATATATCATCTATATTTCTATCATGTCAATATATCTCTCTATATAAATGTCTATCCATCTATAATGTCTATCATCTGTCTATATATATATATATATATATATATATATATATATATATATATATATTTGTCTATTGATCTATCTATATATCCATCTATATACATATATATACATCTACATACACATCTATATATATATATATCTATTTACATGTCTATCCATCTATATATCTGTCTATCCATCTGTATATATATATCTGTCTATACATTTTTATCCATTTCTTACTATCCATCCATCCATCAATATCTCTTTACCGATGATGTCTGTCATTTTGTCGGTGACGGCTCGTGACGCTCTGATGAAGGCGTTGTCGCTCTCATCGTACTTCATCTTCATCTCGAAGAATCCTGAGAAGAGAAAAACACAAGTCAATGACAGCAGATTAGCAAACAACTCAACGCCGCTAAACAGTGCGCTATTAAACTGCAAACCACAGCTAATACAATCTGAATATTCTAAAAATCCACTCTAAAAGTTAATATATTCAATTATTAGTTATGTTATTCAACAGTGCCTTCATTGCACATGTTCATGTTCGCATTACATTTAATTATTGCATGTTGGCATATGTCTACTAGGGAATAGTGAATGAGGTTCTGGGTGGTGATTTCAGATACAGTCGCTGTGTTTATGGACTCAGAGCAGTAGCTCCATCTACTGGTCACACATGAGCATTTCACACACACACTCACTGTTGAAAACTACATTGTTGTCCTTGAAGTCTTTCCACTGCTGATACCATTTGGAGTCCTTGTGTAGCACAACACCCATCGCCTCCCTTTAGCGGAGAAAGAAAAACACAGTGTTATAATTAAATAATTAAAATCTCACTAACTGCAAATAGGAAATCATTAATATTTAAATTACTAAATATAAAATAAATAATGCATTAAAGAATGTTTTATAATAACCAATGAAGCCTCACACACTAAATAATTGGAATTTATACATAATAAATATTAAAAGACAATCTATACTAGACATATACTTGAAATTGAAAAAAATTCTAACAATATTTTTATAATAAATAATAAATATGCATATTTTGGTTTGTTGTCATTTCTTCTTAGCACAACCCTCTGGTCATCATAGCATCTGTTGAGAAATGACCTACTCATTGGCCTCAAACACTTTGTCTTCTGCTGCTCCGGCTTTGGATGAGAACTCTGTCCTCTTTCTGAGTCTGCTGGGCGGCCGATACGGACCCATCTGACCCAGGTCTCCAATCTCCTTCTTCACACTCTCAACACCCTGAATACACAACAAAGAAGAGCTGAAAGCCCCAATCATCCATACACACAGAAACAATACTATAGTAATTATAGTTTTTTGAACCATCAGTAGTAAAGTCTACATATTGTATATTGTAGTATTTATTTACAGCTCTTTGTTAATTACAACATACTGTAGTAGTAACTGTAGTGAACTTCACTCTAGTATGCTTTAGATTGTACTATAGTAAACTGTGGTGTGTATTGTAGTAAAACAGTCTTGGGTCACTTGTTTATATTACTACAGTCGTGTTACCATAGCAACTACAGAATCACCACAACAGATCAGCTGAAGTGGTTTACAATAGTTATTGAATCGCCACAACAGATTAATTCAATTTACAATAGTTTTCGTGTTACCATAGCAACTATAGAATTGCCACAACAAATTAAAGTGATCTACACCAGCTTGTGTTACCAATTCACCACAACAGATCAACTCAAGCGATTTACAATAGTTCTAGTGTTACCATAGCAACTATACAATCGCCACAACAGATAAATTTAATTTACAATGGTTCTTGTGTTACCATAGCAACTACATGATCGATACAAAAAAATTCCCTTTACAACAGTTATAGTGTTACCATAGCAACTATAGGATCGCTACAACAAAACAATTCAATTTACAATAGCTTTGGTGTTACTATAGCAACAACAGATTCACCACAACAGATTAATTAAAGTGATTTACAACAGTTGTCGTGTTACCATAGCAACAATAGAATTGCGACAACAAATTAAAGTGATTTACAACAGCTTGTGTTACCATAGCAACTATAGAATTGCCACAACAAATTAAAGTGATTTACAACAGCTTGTGTTACCATAGCAACTATAGAATTGCCACAACAATTTAAAGTGATTTACAACAGCTTGTGTTACCATAGCAACTATAGAATTGCCACAACAATTTAAAGTGATTTACAACAGCTTGTGTTACCATAGCAACTATAGGACTGCCACAACAAATGAATTCAATTTACAATAGTTGTAGTGTTACCATAGCAACTATAGGACTGCCAAAACAAATAATTTAAGTGATTTACAATATTTCTTGTTACCATAGCAACTATACAATCGCCACAACAAGTTAATTCAGTTAACAATAGTTCTAGTGTTACCATAGCAACTTTAGAATCACCACAACAGATTAATTTAATTCATAAGAGTTCTTGTGTTACCATAGCAACTATAAAATCACCACAACAACAGATCAACTCAAGCGATTTACAATATTTCTAGTGTTACCATGGCAACTATAGAAGCGCTGCAACAAATTAATTCAATTTACAATAGTTCTAGTGTTACCATAGCAACTATAAAATGCCACTTCAGTGGCATTGCTCGCTGCAAAAGTTGGAACTTTCTCAACTTTTCAAGCACCGACAGAAGCATAAGCCAATCAAATCGCTGTATGCAAATACACCAGCTCAGACAGTAGCCGATTGTGGACTTACTTCATTGGCTGACGCTACCATGATTGCATCAGCGCCAACTTCAGACACGCCCCTCTATCGAGCACTGACGCTGAAGCCCTGTAAATGTGGCGTAACAAGCAGGATAAAGACCATGGCCTCTAGTATATGTCGCTAGAGCACCTTTTGAAGTCAGAGAGTGAGGTTTACCTGCGTCGCACTTTGCTAGCTGCCCTCGGTTACAATTAGTATATACTATAATTATACATTACACCAGTAGAATATAACTATAGATTATTATAATCAGATTAAAACAATAACAGCATGTCTTAGATTAGAGCAGATGTGAACCTGTGAAATAGCGCGAAACGCTCCAGTCTTCCCCAGTTTCTCTCCTCCTTTTGTCACCGTCTCTGCAGACTGTTTAGCCGATTTAGCCGCTTCCTCGACTCCTTCTTTGATTTTCTTCCCGATGTCTGTTCGTCCGACTTCTTCCAAACCCTGAGGACATCCAAATCTGATTAATCACTGATAAAATACCTCACGAGACAGCATTCCATTCCATACGATAAAACTTTCCATCACAATTAGCCCTGTTGTGATTATAACAACAAATATTAATAAAAGTAATAACATTTTAATATTCAAATAATAAAAACATTTTAAAAATAATGAAAAGAAATAATAATAATAACATACTAATTGCAGTTATTTCATCTAACTAAAGTTGTTTCAGACGACCACGATTGCTGCAATTCATTAAACAGCCACACAAACCAAAAAGCAGGGGCAGCATTTTTCAAAAGTATGTGCCTTTTACTTTCACTTTCAAATTTGCATGAAAGAGTGAAAGTTCTTAGCGAGTGAGATGTCTTATGGCACGCTCACACCAAGCATGATTATTATAAATATATGTTAAACATATTTTCGTCCACGCTGTTTCTTTTAAGTCCATGCTAAAGACCACCTTATAACCAGCAGATGCCCTTAGTGTGCTACTAGCGTGCATGACCGGTGAATCCAGCTCGTGTAATATTTATCTATTCAAATATATTAATGTAATCAAGCAAATTTAGCGACTGAAGTAAATGTAGAATAGTGGAATAAAAACTATTTGCACAATATGAGACATTGTCACTAATGGGCGGGGCTTTGGGCTCTGATGACACGTACAAAGCGAGAATGTTTCAAGTGAATGTGCCTTTTACTTTCACTTTGAAAGTCGAATGACTTCTTAGAGAACGAGAGGTCTTATGGCACGTTGACACCAAGCACAATAACTATAAATATAACGACAAAGATATAAGCGTCCACACCGATGAACAATAAAAATCTGCTTATTTTTAGTTTATGCATTCCATTTGTACCAGCGAAAGTGCCCAATGTGCTACTAGTCAACTGACCAGTGAATCCAGCTCGTGTAATATTTATCTATTCAAATGTATTAATGTAATCAAGCAAATTTAGCGACTGAAGTAAATGCAGAATGGTGGAATAAAAACTATTTGCACCTATGAGAGATTGTCACTAATGGGCGGGGCTTTTGGCTCTGATGACATGTACAAAGCGAGAATGTTTCAGGCGAATATGTTTTTTACTTTCACTTTGAAAAGAGAATGAGGTCTTATGGCATCTTGACACCATGCACGATAACTATAAATATAACGACAAACATATTTGCATACACACTGCAGGGCTCGAAATTAACCTTTTTGCTTGGTAGCACCGGTGCTCCTAACTTTAAAAATTTAGGCGCATCAGCCAAAATTTAGTCGCACCCACCAATTATGAGCACCGTTACTACAAGTTTTATACAAACAGATTTATTGTACTTGAAATCAACACTAATCAAACTAACAAGCAAAAAATAACAGTAATATAAATATGCGTGCGTGAGGAAAATGTATCAACGAAATCCCGTGATCACAAGAAAATAGATTTTTATAACATAACTGAGTGACCAAAGCATACACGGAGCGCTCACCGGCCCTGCACGCACTGCTTGAATGAATCTGTTAACAGTATAACTGTGCTGTTCTCACAAGTGCTGTCTGATATTGCACTGATGCTTTTGACATATACTGTACCTTATTATATGCATACTTCATGTTAACAGCCATACCGGTCTTTTCATGAGTAGCGATATTAATTTACTCAGTGTAAGCCCATCTGCGATGGTGTACGTGATGTTAAATTTGACATATAGCTGCTCTCGTGCTAGATGTGGCAAACAGTTACCTGAAAACTCCATCCCAAGGACTTTTTATAGCGGACTTGAAGCCAACAGAAGTCTTCTACTCTTGGAAAAGTGTAGATGGTGGATTAACATTCAGCACATGATCACCAGTAAGATGTGTCATTATTTGTAACTAGATGGTTTCTAAAACTAAATCTGTCCGCGTTATCTTCAATCTCATCTTCAGCGCTTTAGTTTTCCGCGGTAGTAGCTCTCTCTGTCATCCGAAGCCAGAAGGCGCTGACTGATTGATTGACAGCTTATATTAACCAATCATTTGCGTTAAGTGCTAGAGCAGTGGTGGGCCAATAAGAAGAGCGCGAAGCCGGGGCAAGCATTACGGGCTTGGCTTTGTTTACTGCAGCAAGATGACATGACAACTGTTTTAAACCATCCCTGAGCGCTGCGTTTCCCATTCCAAGTGCAGACAAAGAGCTTAGAGATGCATTCCGCGTGAATGTCTCCCGAATCCGTGCATGTGGTGAACATTTTGCAGTAAAAACTGGTCGCACACAACAATTTTAAGCACTCGCAGAAATGCTCCCAAATATATTTTAAGGTCGCATAGATAAAATTTCGGTCGCATATGCGACCAAAATGGTCGCAATTTCGAGCCCTGCACTGATGAACGATAACTATCATTTTATTTAGTTTAAGCTTTTCATTTGTATTACCCCCTTATAACCATCAGAAGTCCTCAGTGTGCTACTAGCGCAGTTGACCAGTGAATCCAGCTCGTGTAATATAGCTAATATATTATATTAATCTATTTAAACGAATCTAGAGATACTAAATAGTAACTGTAGAATGGTGGAATAAAAAAACAACAACAACAACATACTATTTTCACAATATGTGAGATGGTGCTAGTGGGCGGGGCTTTCCCCCTCTGATGACACGTACAAAGGGAGAATGTCGATCTTAGTGTTTCTGCAGACTGTTTTTATCAAGTCTGATTTTACAATATAGAATGAAATATTTTTACCACTAGAAGTTATATTTACACACTGTTATGATTTATGCAAAATATGTTGCATTTATAGTCACGGTACTCAACTGTCAGCGATCTGATGTTCTGAACATCATCACTAATACTCTGTGAATAAATAAACAAATGTATAAATAAATGAAGGATTTACAATCAGAAGATCAGCCACTGACCTCTTTCACCGTATCTGACAGAGAGCCGAGAGTTTTCTTCAACACTTCCGACGTTTTCACCGTTTCAGACTCGATGGTTTTCTGAAAAACAACAACACAAACGACTTTGATAAATATGATTTCTGGTTAAGTAAACTCGCAATACTAAACTAAATTTACTTTACTCTCATATATATATAATAGTACAATCGCTTTGAAAATGTACGCACATATTTCCTCCTGGCCTGTTTGAGGGCTTCAGATTCCTCCAGTTTTTTGGCCTCCTCTCGAAACTTCTTGATGTTCTCCTTCATCTCTTTGTTCTTGCTCAGTTCCTGCTTCAGATTATCCAGAAACTCTCCCAGAAAACCCTTCCTGCCGCCACCGCTGGACATAAACCTGACCTGCACATACATACACAGACAAGTGTGTTACACATCACACATCCATGCACACACACACACACACACACACACACACACACACACACACACACAGACACAAAGTCACATCGTATAACACAAACACACACAAATGCACATGCACATATGAATGCGTGCACATGCACACACACACACACACACACACACACACATTACACAGATATCACACACACAAACACACACACGTATAACATATCACAGACATGTGCAAAACGCATCACACATGCATCCACACACACGAGCACATGCAACACACATCACACACACAGACAAATGCATGCATACATTCATACACACACATGCATGCACGCACACGCGCACAAACACACAATGCTAATGCACACATCACTCACACACATAACACAAACACACACACAAACAAATCCACATATGTATGCACGCATGCACACACACACACACACAAACATCACAGATGCACACATTACACAGACATCACACACACAAACACACACACGTATTACATATCACAGACATGTGCAAAACGCATCACACATGCATCCACACACACGAGCACATGCAATACACATCACACACACAGACAAATGCATGCATACATTCATACACACACATGCATGCACGCACACGCGCACAAACACACACACACAATGCTAATGCACACATCACTCATACACATAACACAAACACACACACAAACAAACAAATCCACATATGTATGTATGCATGCATGCACACACACACACACACACAAACGCACACATGCATGCATGCACATGCACGCACACACACATCACAGATGCACACATTACACAGACATCACACACACAAACACGTATAACACACCTCACAGACTCACGCACGTATGCACGCAAAAAGCAAAAAGCAAAGCATCAAACATGCACTCACACACACACGCACATGCGTTACACATCACACACACAGACACATGCATGAATGCATACATTCATATGTACACACACACAAACACGCACACACAAACAAATGCACATACTGTATGCATGCATGCACTCGCACGTACACACACAAACACACCACAGATGCACACATTACACAGACATCACACACAAACACACACACACGTATTACACATAACAGACACACGCACGTATGCACACGCAAAACGCATCACACATGCATTCACACGCGCGCACATGCATTACACATCACACTCACAGACACATGCATGCATATATTCATACACACACACACACACACACACACACACACACATGCATGCATGCATGCCCATTACACACACATATAACACATGCATGCTCACACATACCAAACACGCACATGCATACATCACACAAGCATGCGCACACACACACACACACACACACACACACACACATCAGCAACACTAAATCCCACAATTCCTCTTAATCTCTGACCTGTGCTGCGGCGGCGGCCGGAGCTCCACATATCCTGAAGACATGAGCTCTGGGGTACAGCGAGGAGTAATGACCAGACAAGACCAGCGCGGAGCTTCTCCTTACACACAGCTGAACACACACACACACACACACACGTTAACACAATGTTACTAGAACAAACCTAATCTTGGCTTGAGAGCGTCTGAAGTTTGAAAGCTATTGTCTTTTTATTTTGTAAGTTACAAATTAGGGCCAGGGGCGTCACAGTGGCTCAGTGGTTAGCACTGTCTCCTCACAGCAAGAAGGTCACTGGTTCGAGTCCCGGCTGGACCAGTTGGCATTTCTGTGAGGAGTTTGCATGTTCTTCAGGTTTCCTCCCACATGCGCTATAGGGGAACTGAATAAACGAAATTGTCCGCAATGTACGAGTGTGTATGGGTGTTTCCCAGTACTGGGTTGCAGCTGAAAGGGAATCCGCTGTGTAAAACATGTGCTGGATAAGTTGTGGTGACCCCTGATGAATAAAGGGACTGAGCTGAAGGAAAATGAATGAATTATTTGAAATAAATGACTTCAGAACTGCTTGTTGCAAAGCAATATAAGCTTTATAATCAGATATCTGTAAATAAAACATTAAATCACGGTAAAGCTACACGTTTTTAATTATAGTTTAGCAGTTTGATAAATATTAAAACAAAATTGTAATGTGTAATATTAGAATAAAATGTGACAGATTAGCTGAGATAAACAAAGGTTGTCCGATATTAAAGCTTCGGAAAACATGATATTTTACACACATTTAAAAAAGGATCAAACTAAAAACACAATCCCAAAGAAAATTCACCATACATTACCACAAAACAGCAATAACACAAGAAATAGCATGATATTTTGTTGTTAAACGGATTCAACGAATTAATCAACATCTGCTTCGCGTTTTTTAGTGATTTCCACATGAGCTCTGGCACTTGTAAAGGCTTGTTATAATATTTGATATTTCATTAAGGCCAGATTCTGGTTTCATCAGCATGACTGATCCATCTATGCACATTTCTGCATTAGACACGCGCGCTCCCGCCAAACAAACAGCGCGCTCGCGGGGCTTGGGTCGCGAGCATCGTGTTTTTCGCCTTTACCCTAAACGCGCTGCTGATGAGCGTTTAATAAACGCTTTATATCAGAAACTCACCTGGTAACACTGACACAAGGAGGCCGCCATCTTGGAAGCGCCGCGAGTGACCTGTTTGGCTGGTTGACCTTGCGACGCAATTCCGGGGGAGGAGCGACGTCATGAAACAGCCAATCAACTGCCGCATACATATTAATGTTCAGTTTGTGTTATATATTTTTATTTTGCTGCCTTTATAAATCTTCTATGTATATGTTTTATGTATATTTTATATTATAATTATATTTCATAAGTAAATTAACTTGAATGTATGTATATATATATATATATATATTCAAGTTTATTTACTTATGAAATATAATTTTATGTATTTATATATACTCTCACCGGTCACTTTATTAGGTCCAACTGCTCATTAACACAAATTTCTAATCAGCCAATCAAATGGCAGGACCTCAACGCATTTAGGCATGTAGACATGGTCAAGACGATCTGCTGCAGTTCAAAGCGAGCATCAGAATGGGAACGAAAGGTGATTTAAGTGACTTTGAACATGGCTCTGATTGTTTCAGAAACTGCGGATCTACTGGAATTTTCACGCATGACCATCTCTAGGGTTTACAGAGAATGGTCTAATAATTTGAATAAGCACTCGTTACAATCGAGGTCTGCAGAAGAGCACCTCTGAACACACAAAACATCCAACCTTGAGGCGGATGGGCTACAGCAGCAGAAGACCAAACCGGGTGCCACTCCTGTCAGCTAAGAACAGGAAACTGAGGCTACAATTTACACAGGCTCCCCAAAACTGGACAATAGAAGATTGGAATTACATTGCCTGGTCTGATGAGTCTCCATTTCTGCTGCCATATTCGGATGGTCGGGTAAGAATTTGGCATCAATAACATGAAAGCATGGATCCATCCTGCCTTGCATCAACGGTTCAGGCTGGTGGTGCTGGTGTAATGGTGTGGGGGAGATTTTCTTGCCACACTTTGGGCTCATTATTACCAACTGAGCATTGTTTCAATGCCACAGCCTACCTGAGTATTGTTGCTGACCATGTCCATCCCATCATGACCACAGTGTATCATCTTCTGATGGCTACTTCCAGCAAGATAACGCACCATGTCATAAAGCGCGAATCATCTCAGACTGGTTTCGTGAACTAACAATGAGTTCACTGTGCTCAAATGGCCTCCACAATCACCAGATCTGTATCCAATAGAGCACCTTTGATATATTTAAGTAATATCAGCACCTGTACAGCCTCTTTACCCTTTGTGTATTACTCCGCCCACATACAGCCAGCAAAAAGCAGACACTACAGATCTAAAGTTTAAAAGATGCACGCTCAGCTGTTTAACTGTCAGCTTATGATTTGAATCCAACGCTGAAGAAAGTAGTTCCTCATATAAAGTGTTTTTTAAACTTTCCATGTTTGATTTTGTTTTTATATACACAATTATGCCATCAAACTGTTGTATAAACGCAATTATTACACTCATAGCAGTGCGATATGGCTGTATATCGGCACTCGTGCCAACACCCTCGTACCAATGCGCGCCTCCCACCAGTGCCGATATACAGCCATATCGCACTGCTACTCGTGTGATATTGCTTATATATATATATATATATATATATATAACAAAACAGAAATTAAGCTGTCATACAGAAAATCATCAAACAAAAGTATCAAACAAAAGTATCATCATTTTCTTCATTTATTAAAATCATTTACTTAACAATATGAACCATTTTTTTAATAATTGTAATTAACCCCTCCATGTTGAACATGGACTAAAATAACATTGACTGACACATGACGAAAACACATTCGTATTCTGTCAAATTAAAACTGTAGTTGATTGTAATATTAAGACCTCTCCCAAATTCCGTCCCAAAACATATCGGCCAATCGGATCTCAGCATTAAAAAGATTAACAGTCATAGTGTGTTCTGATTGGCTAAAACAACACTTCTGTCACAGAGATGGGTGTGATTTCTCACAAAGTTAAAAAAATCGTAACAGGTCTACGACTCTTCGGCTGAGCTTTTAGTGTGCTCAAAATTCATCGTTGAATGATTTCCGATCATGATGTTCTGCGCATTCTCAATATGGATGTACGATGGTTTCTGTGGCCACGAGTCATGTTGTTGAAGCATCGGTCCACATGACGGAGGTTGAGCAGATGATGAATGAAACATGTTATTATGCGGAGATTCACTTTCTAGTTTTAGTCGCGCCAATTTTTCCCTTTCTAGTCGTAAATTTGCATTTATGAAATTCTCCTCCTGTCGCCTCTTGTATTCCTCCTCTAGTTTTTTAAGTGTTTGCTTTTTCATCCAAATTTTCCTTTGTTTTTCCACAGCATCCTGCGATAAGGCCTTTAAGGCCTTGCGTTCAAACGTTCTGTTGCTTTCATCGAGAGGCACCTTCGTCTGAAGCACCAATGGAATATTTTTGCGTGACAATCGATTCTCGCGAGGTAGCAGCGGAATAACGGAGTTCAGCTTGTGGTGGTGTTCCAGCGAATTTACAATCGCAGAATCTGTGGTCGTCATGCTTTGGTTGGATTTGAAGTTCTGGGTGAGCAGTAGTAACACGAACGCAGAGTTATCGATAGCGTCCTCGATGCATCTTAACGTTGATCTTCCCGCTTGGGCAAAGTCTTCGGAGAACGTTGCGCCATTTGCGGAAATGATTCCCTCAAGTTTTTCCCTTAGTCTTTGTGCTTCATCAGCATCTTCGGCTTCATGTAAGATCACAAAGGCGTAAAAGGTTTCGTCTATATCGCTTAAGAGTGTAGGGTGAAAACTGTTATCTTGAGTTGGTGGTTTGCGATCGTTAGCATTTATGGGTTGAGCTTTGGGTTTGGCGCCATCATTTGGGCTGGATGAAAAATTAGTGTTTTTGGACATCACAAATTGTGAGGGTCTGCTGTCATGGCGACACCGATTCGAACTGGCTGTGTCATTGACTACTGCAGTCTGCGCTTGGCTGTTTGCGAAAATATTTGTTGATTTATCATGACAACTTCGTAAGTTGTTTTGACTTTTGAATTCTGTTGGCGTGTGGAGGCTCATCGGCTTTGATTCTTCGATATTGCCTTCTGAAGCAGTAGGCGAGCTAATTTCAAGATAATAGGAACTAACATCCAAATTTGAATTCGGAGGTAATGGATCGGGGTTTATGTCTGATACCTTGAGAGAATTAGGATTGCACATTTCCGTAGGAAGTTCTGAGTTTGATGTACTGATAACGTCAGGCCCGCAGACTTGCTTAACTTCCTCTTCGATGTCTAACGATAGCAAACCAGCCGTTTTGCATGATTCAACTGCTTTGCAGTAAGCTTTGTCTCGGTGCGACTTGTCGCACAAACTCTCCTGCACCAAAATGGCGAAAATTCTTGCGATATCCAATAACGAATTGACATCCGTTTGCATAAAACCACCAATGTGGCTACAGTTCAAGCGCTCTCCATGAGTTTTGATCATTTCCGCCAAGTAGTTTCCAACCCTGCTATCCTTGATAGCTGTTAGCTTAGCATGTGCTGCTTCGTGTTTCTTCAGGAAAATCAAACACATGGCATGAACCAGTTCCTCAGTCGGTTTGCGGCCCATTTTGTACGTCAGGCTGAACAGTCGCTCTTGCGGAGCTTGGGACAGAATCTCAAAGACCTTGCCGAGATTCGGACATCCTCCCTCTGAAGGCTTCATTCCACCTTCTGCCATTGTTTTCACAAATTTAGCTGATCACATGTGAATATGTGCTCTTATTTGACATATCAAAGCCATATCTGGGGATCCTGAAAGACAAAGTCAAAGCTGTGTTGAGTAGTCTGTCACTTCTTAAAAACTTTAATATGCAAGTTTCCAGTACATTCAGTTGACAACTGCAATTTTGAAGGACAAATACAACAAAAACAAAGTAGCGTTCACAGATGTGTGTGAATGGAGAACCTTTCAAAACATTGTCATTTGTGTGTGAAAAGTTTTCAAAAGGTCAGTTAAGTATATCACTAACAAAATAAACCCATTAAAAGGTAAATATTAGCTTTTTACAAGTGATCCCTGCTGAAAAATCCAGCTTAAACCAGCCTAGGCTGGTTGGCTGGTTTTAGCTGGTCGACCAGGCTGGTTTTAGAGGGGTTTTGGCCACTTCCAGGCTGGTTTCCAGCCATTTCCAGCCTGGTCTTAGCTGGTCAAGCTGGGAGATGACGAGCTAAAACCAGCTTGACCAGCCTAGCCAAGCTGGGAGTCCAGCCAAAACCAGCTATATCCAGCTTAAACCAGGCTGGTCAAGCTGGTTTTAGCTGGATTTGGCTGGTCATTTTCCAGCCTGACCAGCTAAGACTTAGCTGGAAATAGCTGGAAACCAGCCTGGAAATGACCAAATACCCTCTAAAACCAGACTGGTCAACCAGCTAAAACCAGCCAACCAGCCTAGGCTGGTTTAAGCTGGATTTTTCAGCAGGGATGGATGATATATAAAGTATATATATAGTAATTTCTTAGGGTATTTCTTAACTTTGAACATGCATTATAGCTATCAACATTTCAAATTAGCCACTCATGCTAACTTCGAGAGAACACTGCCAGAACATTCTGAGAACGCCTCTTGCTAGCTGTCAACACGTACAGGTGACCCATTTTAATTTGACACTTTTAAAACTTCATCTATCAAGTTCACAAGATCAAAATATAAATTATAAAAGGAATATAATCATTAAAATTAAATATTAATACTCAACAGAAAGCTTATTAAGTGTTAAATGACTCATCAGCTGTATGTGTGACCTATAAATAATAAACAAATCATGTTTAAAAAAGATTACATCGAGTGTCTTACCTTAATAATAGTTCTGCATTGATTCCAAAATCAGGAACTTGGAAACTGACCCAATCATTCACGTCCTCACACATGAAATGGAGAAGCTGTAGAAATGGACTGATCGTCAGACATTAAAAGGTGTATTTTTCGGTTGTTTTATTTGTGTAAGTGTAAATATGGGCATATTTTAAAGGCTACATGACTTTCTTGTGGCTTTCATCGATCAGACTAGTGGAAATGCGGAAGACAGTAAAGACTGCAGACGTCATGAGGTTGAACACTACCAGAAGATGGCGGTACAACTGAATTTTTTTAAGAAGAAAAAAGAAGAAGAAAAACAAAAACTTAAACTTTTTGTTTTATTGCTTTTTATGCCCACTAAAGACAAAATATATGACTAATAGTCAATTGAAAAATTAGCAGAATTGGATTTTTGTTTCCAAAACTTGCACATTAAAGCTTACCCATTATAATAAAAAGTTAACAATGTACTGAATGCAAGATTTAGAGTTGTAATAAAGGAAAATTTTGTCAAAAGTATTTAAACAAATATCCACATTTGTCTTTTCTAAGAGATAGATACATAGTTCCGTCCTAAATAATTTCATACAAGAGCATTCACAAAAAGAGGAACAATGGTTTCTTCCAAGTCACAAAAGTAAATTTGCTTTCAATATCTTGCATATATTTGCTACGTAAGCTATTACAAGGATAACATCTATGTAATATTCATTAATTCATTTTCTTTTTGGCTTATAATCTCGGGTGGCCACAGCGGAATGAACCGCCAACTTATTTAGCACATGTTTTACACAACGGATGCCCTTACAGCCGCAACCCATCTCTGGGAAAATCGATGTAACATTTTATATGTAATTAATTTCCTTTACTTTGTTAGTTAGCAGCATATATTTGTGGCTAATAATTTTTTCCTTAAAATCGTGTTTAAACAATTAAAAACTGCTTTTATTCTAGCCGAAATCAAACAAAAAAGACTTTCTCCAGAAGAAAAAAATATTATCAGACATACTGTGAAAATTTCATTGCTCTGTTAAACATAATTTGGGAAATGATGAGGAAAAAAAAATCAAAAGGGGGCTAATATTTCTGACTTCAACTGTATATGGTCTTATCATACGAAAACAGTTTTGTCTTTATAGTCTTAGGCATTTTCTTAACATGTTCATCAAACTTAGGTTTGAGTCTATGAAGACACCTAGGTATTTAAATTCACTCACTTCCTTGATTTCCTTTTGGTCAATTTGGATTTTGAATACATCTGGCGCTCTGTGTTTTAAGGAAAACACATTGAAACTGTTTTGTTGTAATTTAGAATTAAACAGCTGTCCTGCAGCCAGGGGGAAATACATACCAGTTGCTTGGTTAACATTTCTGCAGCCTTCTGTGTAATAATAATAAGTAATAAAATAATAATAATAAAATTAAGGAGATTCATTTAAAAATACTACATGTTTACACAGTAAAATCATTATTATCAAAGTGCATTGAAATGGAGGATATCTGTGGTTTCTGCAATGATTACTGTGTGTGTATATATATATATATATATATATATATATATATATATATATATATATATATATATATATATATAATTTAGATCATTATATATATAATTATATATAATTATAGATAATTTAAATCTAATAGAGTTAATTTTTTAAATGATTGAAAACGTTTGTAAACATTTAATGGCGTCTTTTTGACGGTTTTATGTATTTGTATGTAACATAATATTTATATACAGTTGAAGTCAGAATTACTACAATAATTGTTCTGTAGACTGTCAAAAAAACTAAATAGCTTATAGGGGCTTATAATTTTTACCTTAAAATGGTGTTTAAAAAATTAAAAACTGCTTTCATTCTAGCCGAAATAAAACAAATAAGCAAATAAAAAATATTATTATTTATTTATTTATTTATTTGACATGGACATCACAATTACACTGGACAACCAAATGCATTTGTTCAAGTGTTTTAGCAAACTTGCTAATTTTCAACACCTGTCCACAGGAAAACATATCAGACATACTGTGAAAATTTATTTGCTCTGGTAAACATCTTTTGGGAAATATTCATAAGAAAAAAAAATTCAACGGGGGCTAATAATTCTGACTTTAACTGTATATATATATATATATATATATATATATATATATATATATATATATATATATATATATATATATATATATATATATTATTCCAATAACAACAGGCCATTACAACAAATAGAAATACAAAACTGATAATATTATAGTACAAGCAATACAAATATTAATTTTTTTTTGCAACAAGAGAAATGTTTAAATAACATGATAATAATAAAAAATAAATGTAAGAAAGGTAAAGCAAGACAAAGAGAGAGAAAAAGAAACTAAAAAAATAATAAAATAAAAAATAAGGGCACATGACAAAAAACAAAAAACAAATGAATGTTGAATTTTAAATAAAGCACATGTTTTATAAGTTTTAATTAGTTTAATTGAAAGTTGCGGAAATTGTGAAAATTAAAAATTTGGCTTACATTGATTATATTTGCATTTGTGTATGAAAAAACTTTCCAATAAATAAAAGGAGGTTTATGCAAAAAGTTAAATTAAGGAATTGTGTTTCTTTAATGTAAAACCCCAAAATTGGGGTGACGCAGTAGGTAGTGCTGTCGCCTCACAGTAAGAAGGTCACTGGTTCGAGCCTCAGCTGGGTTAGTCTGTGTGGAGTTCGCATGTTCTCCCTGCGTTTGCATGGGTTTCCTCCGGTTTCCCCCACAGTCCAAACACATGCGGTACAGGGGAATTGGGTAGGCTAAATTGTCGGTAGTGTATGAGTGTGAATGAGTTTGTGTGGATATTTCCCAGAGATGGGTTGCAGCTGGAAGGGCATCCTCTGCTAAAACATGCTGGATAAGTTGGCGGTTCATTCCGCTGTGTGACCCCGGATTAATAAAGGGACTAAGCCAAAAAAGTAAAATGAAATCAATGATTGAAAACCCCAAAACAACATGTCTATAGCTCAAAGAAAAATCCCCACAAACCTTTTGGACAATTAGAGAATTCACATCAGACCAGAAAGATTTAACAAAGGGACACAACAAAGTTAATTTATACACTCCACATAATAAAGTCGACATTTGTAAGTGCGCTCTTATTATATAATCCTCATCTCCCGCCAAATTGCGCGAGAGTAAGCCAGCATGGCTAGGGTTTCGCGCGCAACCCTAAGCTCCGGTAAGCAGCGTAAATGACACGCCGCTCAGCCAATCAGCGAGCACATTTGAACTCCCCCCAGCCAATCAGCTTGCGCCGTGCCCACGGCAGGAGGGGAAACACGTTGTTCAACACTTTTATTGATTCGAGCTCGTTTCATTGCGTTTCGCGGCAGGACTGAACTCTAACAAAAGTGCAGCGTTTTCACACTTTCATCACATTCACTGAATCAAAATCACCTCTTCTGTTCCCGAGAAGAAGATAACAGGTAAAGAGCTGATTTTAAATTCACTTTCGGTTGATATTTGAATGTATTGTTTATAAAACCGCGCGCACGAGCTGCATTTTACTCAATAAATATTAGCAATTTGCATATGTATCTCCTGCATGTTAATGTTTACAATATGTAACGCATCTTTTATTCGTCTGTCTTGCAAAAAGTTTAGAGTTTGAACTAGTTATAAGCCTTAAGTCTTAAATGAAGTGTAAATCTCTGACTTGTGATTGTTATTTGTATTTTAGTCAATAATTCAGTCAAAATGTTGCTTATTAATGTTGTATACGCTAAAATAAGTAATCATAACAATGCTAAGCAGCATAGGAAAGTGTTTGTGAAGGTCGAACTTGAGTGATTCAGTATTCAGTAATGGTGGATACTGATATACAGTTGGTTAATGTACATTTAAAATGATAAATGCTTCCAAAATGGACAAACCTTTACTGATTCTGACTTATTTTCTAACATATGTGTCTGTTTTTGATGCAAGACCACCCACGTCATGACCAACACTCAACCCTTCATTTAAGTGAACGCAGTTTGCGTTGGTTCCCGTTTAAACGGGTTGGTTTCTGCAAATGAACACCATCCAAGCTCGTATCTGGAGCTCAGGCCTCATTCCTGCTTCCTGTTGTTGGTTTAAAGTCGACATGATGAAGACTGATACTATTCACCCCCTGCAGTACCGTGACTCACACCAGGGGGCGTTTCTTTTCGGTTTCCGCCAATAACAGGCGTGGTTTGTTGAGCTAAGATGTCAACAAGGCTCTTCATGCACTTGTAGGAATGGAGGATCTCAGATCTTGTAGGGCATTGGCCTACCTTTTTAGTGATGTAGTCATTTGGTGCCAAGATGCATTCATAATCCAAGTTCCAACATTGGTGGGAAACCCTAAAGAGTAAGCCATTTTAAAATGATGACTAATATATGGAAGAAATTAGTGATTTAGGGCTTTACTCAAAGTACATTGGAATTTTTTTAGTTAAATAGGGAACTTGTACCATGCAGAAGCCATTTTGTAATGGGAAGAAGTCTCTATATATGGGTTCAAAGTAGGTCTGCACAATATAGAAAAAATCTGCAATATTTTGGTTTTCTGTGATATGAATACAATTTCATCAGATAGCTTAAATAGCTATTTGTTATAGGCATGGTCCGGTATAAGATTCTGACGGTATGATAACCTTGAAATAAAATACCACGGTTTCACGATATTGTGATTGCTGCTTTAAAATATATTATTTTTGAATGTCTGGGTAAAAAAACAAAAAACACAACTCTTCCACCTTTGAACACGATATATTTGATTTTAAGAAACATTTAAAATTTTAAAGCAGTAAATATGTCAGGTTACGTAAACGAATTAAAACACTGATTTATTTACAATTTAATACAGTATCTTTGGATATCTTTACTGCAGGAGATACTGTTGTCCTAAAAACAAACAAAAAAAGTTGATAAATCGTACACATACCTTAGAAATGGTATAATAGAAATATTGGCGGTTTTAAAACGTTGACTTTTCCAAACCACGGTATACCTTGAAATGGTTATCATCCTAGCCTTATTTGGGAAGAGTCTAAGTATAGGAATTAAATAATCAAATATAAAATAGCATTGCACAGTCTTTAATGTACAAATAATTCAATACAATTTTTTTTTTTTATTAAACTTACAAGATTTACAATTCCCTGTGCCTGAAAGCCATACACTTTCTTGATCTGGTCATACAGTCACAGGGCTTAAAAACGCATGCAAATGCTGAACTTTTGCTCCATTATTTATGGTAAAAATTACTTCGCTTGTTGGTAACACTTTATCGTCCCCAATGGGTAGGCCCACTCTGAATCTGCGCAGAATTCTGCAGTTTTTAAGCCCATCATTAATTCTGTTTATTTACTTAAGTAAATGAGTGTAAATCTATATTTATTCAGTATTTCAATTAATTACAGTAATATTTTGGACTAATGTGAAAATGTTCATCTGATTTATGTACAATACAGTTTGTAAAGTAATATTTTCTGTCTTTTTGTAGATGTATTGTACGATAAACTTGCTTTGTTTACCAAATAAAGTGAATCTGATTTGCATTGTAAACATTAATTAAATACAAGTTACAAATATATATATTTTTTATTTCACATATTAAGGTTTTAGTTATGATAATCTCAAAATCTTTCCGCAGAAATCCACAGATTTTTTACCAAAATTTTGCGCAGAAATCGCAAAAAATGTCCGCAGATTCCGTCTGGCCCTACCAATGGGGAAATTTGTCTTGGACTCTAGGCCCACATTTACATTCGCTGAACAGAAACGCATTAAAAAACATAAATCAACACAAACATTCAATCATCAGCAAATATTACATATTTAAAAGTCTAATTGATGTAAGAAAAAACTAAAGATATCTCTCAAATCTTAAATGTTCTGAACTGCGCCTCCTGGTCAACTATAATTACAATTCAATTAGAGATCCAGCTACGTGACTATTGCGAATGTATTTTGTGATATCGATGCAAAAACGATATAATGTGCAGCTCTTTTTCAAAGCATCAGGCTTAAAAACTACCACTGGAAATGAACGAGCAAAAAATATAAAGGTATCTAAACAACCTTTTGTTTACTTATCTCAAAAGGCTGTAAAATGTCCTAATAATCAAATTTGAGTCGCACTACAGTTTGAGCTTGTGAAATTCTGCCTCGAGCTGCTTTGAAAAGGGATGAGACCAAAAGAGATTAGACATTAATAAAGCAAGCGATTGCTTTAAATTTAACATTTCTGTACAGAGGGGTCATGTTTTGGTCTTTAATTGGTCTCAAGCGTTCATGTGGGCCTGAAATTGCAGTTCTGTTCACCGAACTTGAACTTTCGAATGCAGCGAGACTTGTCACAAAAGGTGCTTTCACATCTGTAGTTCGCTTCATTTGGTCCGCACCAAGGGTAAGAAATGATACATTGTTGCATCTTCTGCCGTCTTTGGGTAGTTTTCACTCCACAATGCTGGCTTTGGTCCGAACCAGTTGAAACGAACCAAAATGCAGTCATCTGACAAAATCCACATCTCTCATTGGCCAGATGTTGTTGAACATATTTCCTTAACTGCTTACTGATTGGTCAGAATTCACGTGTGGGAAAATGCATGTGAACTCCCGCAGGTAAACAAAACCGGCAGACACAAAATGTTTTAACTATGAAGGGACGACTGCACTGACTGATTGTATGCCTGTTTTAGACAAACTATACATTTCGAGAATGAAGCGCGGCTGGAAAACAGTGTCTAATGCATCGCTCGTCATTTCAGGAGGAGACGTGAATAATTTAGCTAAACTGCGACATGGTCATCTTGCGGAAATATTACCAATGATCCATCAGGTAATGTTTTCCTCTCTCTCTCTCTGTTGGTAAAGCGCTGTCAACAAATATTTTTCCTCCATATCCCATAATGCACAGCGCATCGGCCCACGGCAGCTGAATTAGTCCAAAAGCCGCAGTACTTTTTGCGGTTGGACCTGTTTTAGTACGGATCATATTCTCTAGCGTTTTCATTCTGCTTTGTTTGTATGCAAATAAATTGAAGTCTTTGAGGTTAAAAGTGCAGTGTGACCTCCGATTTACTCATGTAAACTGGTTTTACATTGCTTGTGCAAGCTGTACGATTTGGTTATCTGTAAATAAATAAAAAGTTAATCATTTATGAATCATCGATGGGTTGGTTTATGGTAAACCATTTACCTCGGGAATGTTATCATATTTGAGCATTTAATACCCTCTTTTACATCAGTAGTCTTTGAAATGCAGTTGTTTCTCAATATTATTATGATCATTTGATGCAAGGCTGCACGATACTGGGAAAATATGCTGTTTAATGTGTTTTTCCTTCAAGATAGCTAACTTGCTAAAAGCTGCTTTTATTAGCAATACAAAATCACTTATGTAATGATCATACTAAAATTAAATACAATTAAATAATAAAAAAAAAAACTGTCAAGGTACAAACATTTGGACTTTAAAATGACCACGAATAACAAAGCATCTGAGGAAATTCAGATTCTTATTAGCTGTCGTCATTTTCCTCTCTCGTCTCCTATAATTGTTTATTTTCAGCTCTGTTTTTACCTAACAGCACCTACTGGAGGGGCGGAATAAAGATAGTAACGATTGTTCTGATTGGTCAGGTTTGGATTAATTATAACGCACATAAAATTTACTTCATCAATGGTGAATATTTTATCGTCATAACGTTTTTTTTCCCCAGATATATCGTGCTGCCCTATTGGTGCCATGGCATAAGCATAATCCAGGTTTACACATTACTATAAAACCTTCAGGTAAATAAATGGTGCTTATAACTAGAGCAGGCAAAACTCCTCTTACTATAAAACACATTTTACTGGACTGTCCTACTTTTACTGATTTCAGAAGACTTTTTTTATGAAATGAACTCTTTTAAGGACATTTTTGACAAAGTGAAACCAGAAGATTTTAGAATTTTATTATGCATTAACACAAAAAATCTCAATTAATTTATGTTTTATTTTGTTTGTTGATTTTTTTTAAAATTGTATATTTGTTGTTGAAAGATTCCTGCCCTGAAAATAGCCTTGGTTGCTGACATGGCATCAAATACAAAATACATTACATTACATTACATTACATTATAACTAGAGCTGCGCAATATATCATTTCATCTGCAAGAGTCACATCGTAAATATGTAAAGTTGAGTCTTGTTTCTAGTTGACCAGGAGCTACAGAATTGTATTTGATTACTGAATAGGAAATTTGTAGGGTTTATGCCAAAAAAAAAAAAAGTTTAGTCTTGTTTTTAGTCCAAATATCTACATTTCAAAGCAAAACAAGATTATTTTGATTGTCACACTGGCAGATAATTTAGCTTGTTTTAAGAAAAAAACTCTTAGTTTTGCTTTATTGTTTTGTTTTTATCTTTACAAGAAATAATTTTACGCAAGTAAAATTTATAAAAAAAAAGTTATAAGTATTATTTGACTAGAATGAGAATCATTGCAATTATTAAATTGTTTTGTACTTGAAAACTGTTAAACTCCCCCAAAAAACGTCAAATAGAGCTATTCACACGTCTTGTGAAACTATATGCATATCGCAATGTTAATCACAGAAAAATAAAATTGCAATATTAGATTTTTTTAATATCATGCAGCCCTATTTGTAACTTAAAGTACATTTGAGTTTTCACCGTTCAATGGCCGCCCTGTATCATGCCACCATCTTTTTGTAATGGTAACATGACTCTAAACGAGGTTGCAAAGAAGCAGAGAAACAGAAAAGCGCCGCAGGAGACGAATGTGGAAAAAAAACAACCCGACTCTGAAACCAACACCTTTTTCCTGCTCGTATAAAGGTTTTGGCTCAGAGCCATTGTCTGAACTGTAAAATAAAAAGGCGGGAAACTCACTCTCTGGTGCTCTTGTTTCCAGGTTTGCCGCCATGTGGATTCAGGTGCGCACTATGGATGGTAAGGAGACCCATCGGGTCGACTCCCTGTCCAAGCTCACCAAGGTGGACGAGCTGCGTGTGAAGATCGCCGAACTCTTCAACGTCGAACCCGAGCGGCAGAGACTCTTTTACAGGGGCAAACAGGTGACGTGTGGTGTATTTGAGAGCTGTTGCGTAAAGCTAGCCGAACAAACCTTTAGTTACACAGAATGGTTTAGAGTTGACTTAACCCAATCAGGTTTGGTGGTTTCACAACACTTGCTATGTTAACTCTGAGTTTAATCCAGAGTTAGTGATTTTAACTGGACTGAATACAGCTGAAAGCGAGACTCGTGTTGCAAACTTTCAGTTTCTGTGTGATTCATTTCTCATAAGTGGGATTCATTTCTCTGTTGAAGATTTGACATAATTAACAGAGTTTTAACATTTTTGCTAATCCGAATAGCTTTGAAGTTTTTAACAAAAATACATTGTAAAAATTAATGTCTATATTTTCAGTTTACTTTGCCATTAAATAGACATAGAAGCTGGTATCGCATTAAACCCAAACAAACAAGCAACTTTGCTAATGTAATAACAGCTTGAGGCAACTTAAAGCAAATGTTATAGCAGTCCAATTCAACTGATTTTAACCCTTAAAGACCTAGAGGTATTTTGTGGGCATCTAATGGGCTCATATTATTTATTTATTTATTTATTATTATTTTATTTTTTTTACTGTTTTATTGTTATTTTAGCAGTCAGGCTCAAGTGTCATATATTATTTTAAATAGGAGAACCTGAAGCTTCAATCTGTATCATTTAAAGGTCCCGTCTAAAATATTTTTTGGTCCAAAAACATATGAACAGACAGAAAATGTTTCAGAATTTTAAGTTTTTAAAAAAAGTGGCATTTTCTAGTTATTACAAACAAAACCTTGTGAAATTTTTTTGACGTTTTCTTTAGAAATACACGCTATGTTGTTTTATACTTCTAAAATAAATTGTGTCTACATCCACCATTCCCTGAGCAAGTTCTAGCAATTTATTTCAGTGTTATTCCAAGGCGTTATTCACTGGGGAAAAAAACTAGTGCATTTATTTACTGACAATGTATTTGCCCAAAAGTTCTGAGAATGAACTAAACGGAAAGATTGTTACAAAATAACAGAACACTGAAGCAAATTTGAGTTTTTCCAAATAATATATTTTCAGTTGTCATAAACAACACCACTTACAATGAACAAATAAAAAATAAGAAAAAAGTTATAATTCGTCAAAGTCCAAATAAACATGGTGCAAATCCTCAGTAAAAACCTAGATATAAATATTTACTATACTATAAATACTTGCATATCTAAACTAGATTCAATGTATACCATCCTTAGGTTTGAAGTGCCAGCATATGGTGTTGACCCTGCTGTCTCTTAACTTTTGCGTTGCAGACAAACAGCCGCATCGTCATTTCCATCCTTTGAAAACAGCAAGATCAGCACTTCCTCTTTGCTGTCACTGTTTTGTCATGTTTTTGTGCTGTTGTGCATGCAAAAGTACTTCGTATGAGAATTAATTCATGCAAAACTCTCTTCTTTATGCCAATCTTTGAATGGTACGGATCGGATCAGCAAATCAAAAGTTATTAAACATTTAAGAACAATACTTATTTTTAGCCGCGGGCAGCTGTTTCGGTCTTTCAGGGATAAAGGAACGTTACTCATAATCTACTGTCTTCTACTGTCTTAATCTACTGTCTGTTGAGCACAAAGGAAGATATACTGAAGAAGATGCTGAAAAAAACAATAGCCATTTAGTTCCAAAGTATTTCTTATAATCCTCCTGTGGATCCCAATGATGAAATGAGGAAATTATTTAGCTCTGAACCTCTCGAGTTTGAGTAAATGAGGATATTTCTATTTTGTGTGGACTATCTTTAATGGTGTAAGTTCACGAATATGAATTGACGATTCAAAACTGTATTGAATATGTAATTGGCTTCATTATGTTTATCTTATTGAAGTATAATAATTTGATCAATTTTAAGTAAGACAAAAGATAAGGATGCTTAAGTTTATGCAAAATAGTATTGCGATGTTTATTTTGTTGGCGCACAGTTAATCTGTAGGTGAACAATTAATCTGTACAAATCTGTTTAATCTGTTAAAAAAAAAGTTTGTTTTAGTAATCTTTAATCAAAGTCTGACCATTTCCTTCTGCGTTTTTTAAGTGGGCGGTTCTTCTATGATGTCATTTTGACGTTTCAATTGAAATATTCTTAACTATTCCCTTTCCATTAGGGTGCTTTGAGGAAATGATGTACAAAAAAGTTTGTTACAAAGACGTCAACGTACTGAAATATGTCCTTGCAACTTGTGGATCACAGACTTTGGCTGCATCCAAAATCGCATACTTCCATACTATATAGTATGCTAAAATCAGTATGCGAGCCGAGTAGTATGTCTGAATTCTTACAATTCGAAAAGCAGTATGTGAGATGTACACGGGTGACCTACTGCTACCGGTGAGATTTTGAAGTGCGCATCTGATGTACACTACACTATCCCATAATACACGGCGAGAGAATTACATATGAAGCATGTCTGAGTTTCATTCATACTGTATAGAACGTACTTTTCTAACGGTCGAGTAGTACATTTCAACTCAAATGCAGAACCTACTAAGTTGTAGGCGATTTTGAACGCAGCCTTTGAGAACTTCTAATAAATGCATCACTGCTCACACATGATTGGTCCTGTTTGGGTTTCCAAATGCTCCAGTGTCCGCGCATCTGTGTTTGCACTTGGTGAACTGGTGACCTTCATAGCCAATCACAGGCTGCATCTGAAATTGCCAACTACTCGAGTTTGTACTACATTAGAATTTACTTCACGACCCTTAGAGAATCCCGTTCACTTTTTAGTAGTCAACATTCAAACCACTTTTGACAATACTAACTAAATAAAAACACAAACCAGCTTTGAGCAACAGCCCTCTGTTTTACATGGAAAAAGTGACGCGTCATTTGGTCTCTGACTGGAGTTTTGATGGTGTTTTTGTCTGTTTGATAGATGGAGGATGGTCACACCATATTTGACTATAACGTGGGTCTAAACGACATCGTTCAGCTGTTGGTTCGGCAGGCGGTTGCAGCCACGGTGCTACCAAAAGACAAGGAGGCAGAGCTGTCGGACTCCGACTCCGGCTGCGGATCGGCTCAGAGCGAGTCTGATAAAGGATCCACACATGGTGAGAGCGACGTACAGAGCGCCGGAGCCTCCGGACAGACAGACACAGCAGACCTCATCGACCCTGGCTTTGGCTTTTACAAGGTGAGAGGAAAAACATCGACTCGTGTGTTTATTTCCGTTTTTAATTGTGCATATTTTGTTTTTGAGTAACAGTACATTTGCTCTATTGCCTCAATCTCAAAGCTCTTAAAACTGGGTCTTAATTTGGCCACAACTTTCTCTGTTTCTCAGCAAATGGACTGATTTTAATAATTTTTTTTGGGGTGGAAAATCTTATTTTGGCACATATTTTGGTAAAATGCTTAGAAAGTGTTCAAACTCAATAAACTGGGCAAATTGACTACCCTCTCATTATGTTGGGGGCTGTTTTTGCCCCATTGACCTTCATCATAACCAGGCATAACCACTGGCCATGACGCCATTATAAGTATCCTTGTTTGTTGGTGGTTTTCCCTGTTGGAAAGAAGTAGCGTGTCATTTTTACTGTTGATCATCAGTTGCAGTGCAAAAAAGCTTAGTGTCTGGCTTTTAAATGGAGCTATATGGAGTATTGTGTATATTTGTGTGTCTGTGTGAGACCTTTGTGCACTTGATGTGTCAGAGAAAATCAAAATAAGAAGCTCAGCTCTCAGAACATACATAATAAATGTATATATGCACACACACACATTCTAATCCAGAAGCCAGGAAGTGTTTTTTGCACAGGCTAATCTTAAGGGTTAATGCTGCCAACTGATGATGAGCAACAGTATCTCATCTCAACAGAAAAAAACAATCAATCAATCAAGAATGCATGAGTATGCATGAGCATAGTGTCAAGTTTTTGCAACCACCAAATTGTGGTTATAATGGTAGTGAATGGGGCAAAAACAGCCCCCAACATAACGAAAGGGTAGTACATTTGAGCAATACACAAGGGTTAAATTCAAATAAAAAATTTAATTGACTATTTGGATACGCTTTGAATGGTCAGTTGACCAGTTACTTGAACAGTTTGCTTTTATTTACTTGTAAATTGTTGCTTAATGTGAGCTTATATATTATTTGCTTGTATACATTGCTTGTATATTATGTATTTTTGTGTAAATTGTTGTGGATAAATCTGTTTGTTTTCATTACTTGACACACAATAAACCTATTGCTGACTTTTCCTTTCTATTAAAAGGTCAAATCATGTTTTTTGAATGATCTTTCTCAGATAAATGAGTTTGTGGATGCTCGAGACCTGAATATGGGTGCCTGGTTCGAGGCTCAGATCGTCAAAGTGACGAAAACTCCAGCTGAAGATGGAGGAGCTGAGGATATCGTTTACCACGTCAAATATGAAGAGTAAGTCCTTCAGCTCAGTCAATTGCTGTGGGGGAAATGTTGCATAATTGTTTCTGTGGCTGCTTTCACACCTGTGAATTGATTCAGTTGTTCCGAATCAGAGATTACAATTGTTACATTGTTGCTCTTTGCTCTTGGAGCGGTTCGCTTTCACACTGCAAAGTTTCTAATCGGACCAAAAGAGCTAAAACAAGTCACGTGTGAGTAAACTTTCCTTACATTGGTCAGAGTGTCAGGGTTTATTTTGCAGCGTCCCGCTCAGCTGTCAGGAGAGGTGGCAGTTTGATGGTGATTGACAGGGTGTGCGCATGACGTCTCTGAGGAGAGATGTGGTGGGGAGGTGTGAGAAGGGTGCGTGACGATGCCTATTTGAGGACCGGGAGGGAGACGCGAGATTACCGGGAGATCATCACTCGTTTGCGGGCATCCGGAGACTCGCGAAACTTCCCTTCATACTCATAATTCTCTCTTCATATAGCCGTATGCCAATTACATATCCGTAAAACACTGTGATATAACCGCGCTCGGATCTGATCGCTTTCTCACTGCAATCGAACCGCTCCAGGGTTCGTTTCAGTCGAGCTGAGACCACCTCATTCAAGCGATCTCGGAGCGATTACTTTGGCGCGGAACAGAGTGCGATTGCCCTGTTCACATATGCCAAACGAACCGTGCTAACTGGGCAAACGAGACACGTTCCGAAACAAAAGTGTAGGTGTGAAAGCACCCTGAAAGTATATACCAGGGGTTCTGGGTCCTGATGGTCCAGTGTCCTCCAGGTTTTAGCTCCAATTTAGGACTAGCTAATCAAGCTCTTACTTGGCCAGGCGTGTCAAACTCCTGGAGGGCCGCAGCTCTGCACAGTTTAGTTCTAAAACTGCTCCAGCACATTTTTAATTTTATTTTACATGTGAATTAGCATGCAGTTTTATCTGTTTAGGTCTGTTTAGATTGTAATCGTTACCACTGTTTGCAAATAAAACCAAAATAAATATCCTGCCCATACTCATTCTCTGTATGAGAAAGCCTATTAGAATAAGTTTATAATTAGTTAAGATTGCAAAAGATAAAAAAAAAAAAAAAAAAACCTTAAGATCGTTTCTAAATGAGTCCGGTCTTTCTCTTTTTCTAAATGAATCATTCAAGGGAATGAGTTTCTTAGATGCAAGGCAAAAGTGTACGTATATTGTAAAAAAAAAAAAAAAAGCTAGATTTTATATCTGTAGTATTGCTAAAACTAATAAATGAAGTCTTCTTTGAAAGTCCACACTTTCTCCCGTAAAGCATTGTGTACAGTATTGTTCCAATAATATAATTGACATAAGGGGTTTTCTGAACTAATTATTCAAGAGAATCTCTTTCTGAATTAATCATTCGAGGGGATTTCTGAATCATTATGAAGGGAGTCCAAAAGGGAGTCCATGTGCTTTCATTCTGAATGAATCTGCGGTTTTGAGTTCATTTAATTAATGATTGTGTTTTCACTACATTAGTTTTTGTTTAGGCCTAAAACTTTCTAGATACCAGTACAGAAATGCAGTCTGCAGAAATACTGTCTTATTATTATTATTATTATTATTATTATTATTATTATTGGGGCCAAAAATGTAGTTTATTTAAAAAAAAAAAAAAAAAAAAAAAAAACTCTTAGTATCTTGGTTTGTCACAATACTGGAATTTGGTGCCTATAGATACCGAAAATTTGAAGATGTCTATAGCTGCGTCCCAAATGGCACACTATACACTATGCACTTACACACTCAACAGGATAGTATATGTATATAGTGTTGTCCCAAATGGCACACTAATGTTTTTTTACTAAGCGGAAATTCAAACCGTTTCCCTGATGACGTTTGACGGTTGCCAAATAAGTGAAATAAACGACCGAATTATCAAATAATACCTGCCGTGAGTATTGCCGCATTTACCATCAGGAGGCGCTATAATCACTCTCGTAGGAGAATTTTGCTTTTACCATCCAAAATAAATAAAGTTATCCAACATGTGCGTCCGATAGCTCCGCCCCTTCCGCTACGTAAGCAAACCTGCGGTCGTTGAGTGCGTGAAGTGTCCATCATTACACACTTCATTTTACCGGCTGAATGAGTGCATCATCCGGGAAATTAAAGTGCACTTAATGTTTTTAGAGTTTTCAGTGTGAACACACTACTTACACTATTTATACTACAAAATGGCGTAGAATAGTGCATAAGTATGCGATTTGGGACGCAGCTACTGACTGAAACACTCCAGTGATTATGAAGGTAGATCAACTGGTTTGTCTATACGCTGACATATGAGCGATCCACTGATGAATCATGGCTTTAAAACGCTCCAGTGTTCCTTTACCTGTGTTTACACTTAAGTAAACAGCAGTGAGTTTGGTGAACTGATGACCTTCACGGCCAAACGCGGTCATTTCTGTTGAGCATGTGAACACTGGCCAATCAGCTGTGTTTAAGAACACTGTCAACAGTGCTTAAATGTTAGCAGGAACTGGACGTTATTAAGTTTTCAGTTTCGAATTCCAGTATCATGACAACCCTATTAGTGTCACTCCTGTTTAGAAGGTTGAATTGATGGAAGAAACACTGAAAGGTGAATCGGCATGTGTGATTACGAAATATGGTTTCTTTTTTTTCCCTCCAAAGTTACCCCCCCACCCCAATTTCCTCTTGAACGCCTGTTTTCATTTCCGTTTTCATCTATCCTTGCAAATGCTGATCGCGTGTGTTTTGTGCAGTTACCCAGAGAACGGTGTGGTGCAGCTGCGTGGGAAAGACGTCCGTCCGCGGGCGCGAACCGTGTACCAGTGGCACCAGCTGGAGCCGGGAATGATTGTGATGGTGAACTACAACCCTGACGACCCCAAAGAGCGCGGATACTGGTACGATGCCGAGATCCAAAGGAAGAGGGAGACGCGCACTCAGCGGGAGGTGTTCGGCAAGATCCTGCTCGGGTAGGCTAATGCATTAGCATTCAACACCACAAAGGATAAGTGCGGTAACTGCTAGTGTCATAAGATATTTTATCATTCACTATATATTGATTGGAGACTCTTTCCCGAAAATAATAATTAAACATTCACTCAATGACATTAATACTAGCATTAGCATATTAGGCGACACTCTAATGCAATTTGGAAAACAGCCACTAGATGGTGCGGCGGCTAAAACCCTAATAGAACAACAGCATAAGTCTGTAAAATAAGCTATTAAAAGTGCTGATGATTGTGATCGTAAGCGCGGTATTGTCGTCTTTCAGGTTGTATCCTGGCTTTAATGCACTTTTTAAATAAATAAATAAAAAACAAAGCAGCTGCTTGCCATCGCGACAGCTATAAGATCCAATGGACGGCTGATCGCTTTCACTCCAAAATGGCGGAATCGGGGGCTGCTGCTGTTGTAATGGAACGTTCTATTGAGTGTCGCCTCTTGGTCATTCTAAGCTCTTTGGTTTGACTGTGTAAACGCAACTAGCATTAGCATGATTGCTTTTGCCAGTGTAAACATGACTAGCACTATTAAGGATGAGCGATTATTTGATCGTTTGCGATATACGGATTGATAATTCTTCTCGAAAATAACAACCTACAATGGATCCATACAATGAACGACAGCAGTGTGTCTGAGCCGGTTTATGAACATTTATTGACGTTCACTTGAAATGCTCTTAATGCTAGCATTAGCATGTTTATTATAGGCTTGAAAGTGAAAATGCAACTAACACTAAAACGCATGCTTGTTTTAGACCTTAGCATTAGCATGGTTGCTTTAGGCCTGACAGTAGAAAATGCGACAACTGGACGGATCCGCGTTACGTTCTTGCTTTAAACTGGATTGTAAATGTGACTAGCTCTATTCGGGATGGGCAATATAAACGTTTTTATTTGCGTTCACTCAATGCGACTAATACTAGCATGTAGAATGTTCGTTTAAGGCTTGACTGTGAAAACACGACTGACACAAACTCATTCTGTATACATTGTACTCATTCTGACATGCATTACACTAGCGTTAGCACTCTACCTTTGGATAGGACTAGCACAACTAGGAATAGGCAAATGTTTTATTTATATTTTATCGTTCGCAATATTCAAATTGAAAATTCTTCCTGAAAATAACCGTAATTCCTAAAATGGATCTATACAATGAGCTAAAACTGTTTATTTGTTTGTCTTTCAGGGATGCTGGTGATTCCCTGAACGACTGTCGCATCATGTTTGTGACTGAAATCTACAAGATCGAGGAGCCGGGAAGTGCCGAGGGTCCAGGAGCCTCTTCTGACAGCCCTCTCAAGAGTCAGTCTTTGCTAATATATCAAATTTGTGTTAATTATAATAATATTAGCGTGATTACTGGAATAAAAATGGAAATACGGGACAAACATTAGCCTTTTGCTTTGAATGAGACTAGCACACCATGTACCGTTTTCAATTTACTGATGGGAAGTCTTTGCTAACATATCAAATCCGTATTAATCATAATGCTACCGATTTTAGCTTTTAAACGTTTGTGTACAAAAAAAGCTATTTATTATAACATATTTATTTAGCACACATGCATGTTTCTATTGAGTTGTTTTATTTATTTTTTTATAAAGTTTCACCTCAAAATAACAATGTTTTATAACTCTTCGATCCTAATTGTGGTGTTTTGGTGACTGTAGCTTTTTTTTAAAGATTTATTTTTGGCCTTTTTGCCTTTATTAGATGGGACAGTATTGAGACAGGAAGTGAAGTGGGAGAGAAAGAGAGGGGGTAGGGTAGGGAAATGTCGCCGAGCCGGGATTTGAACTCGTGATGCCCTGACGTGCTATTGCACCATATGACAGCGTGCTAACCACTAGGCTATTGCGCCGACTTGACTGTAGCTTTAAATTCAAATGAGATTGTGCTCTTTCTCAAAAGAGGGCGGAGCTATAAATGCCTGTGTGTCAGCATAATCTTTTCTAAAAGTTAAAATTATAATGTTGTTCTGCTGTATATTTTGATTTATGAACATGCATCACCTTAACTCACGGCACATGTCTTCTGTGCACCCCAGGGTCGAACGGTCCGGAGTGTAAGGTGTGCAAAGACGACCCGAAGAAGAACTGCCGCGTCTGCAACTGTCACGTGTGCGGCATAAAGCAGGACCCCGACAAACAGCTGCTGTGTGACGAGTGCGACATGGCCTTTCACACCTACTGCCTGAACCCACCGCTCACCACCATACCCGACGACGAAGACTGGTAAACCATAGCGACATGTTGGCTAACGTTGTGGATTGAGGAAAACAAACCAAAACCTATTTAAGTTGTAACTATGACTATCGTTAGCATGTTTGTTTTGGGCCTGACCATGTTAATGTTTTGCTTTGCGGAAGACGAACCAAAATCCATTTGAGAGTATAAAATGTGACTAGCATTAGCTTGTTTGCTTTAGGCCTAACCGTGTAAATGTGACTAGCTTTAGCGTGTTCACATGTTTTGCTCACTTTGCGGAAAACAAACCAAAACCCATTTGAGAGTATAAAATATGTAAATGTGACTAGCTTCATGTTTGTTTTAGCCCTGACTCTTTAAATGTGACAAGCGTTAGCATGTTCGTTTTATTTTTGAGTCGGAAAACGTTACTGATATGCACTAGCGTGTTCGTTTTAGGCCTGACCGTGAAAATGTTGACTAGCACTAGCATATTTGCGTTGTTTTTGACAGTGGAAATATGCATGTTCGTTTTAGGCTAGACAATGTAAATGCGACTAGCGTTAGCATGATTTCTTTTAGACCTGACTATGGAGATGTGACTACACTAGCATTAGCATGTCTACTTTAGACCTGAATGTAGAAACATGACTGACATTCTTTTCCATTAGCATGTTTGCTTTGGTCCTGACTGTGTAATGCAACTAGCTTTAGCATGTTTGCTTTAGGCCTGACCATGTAAGTGCAACTAGCTTTAGCATGTTTGCTTTATGATTAGCATTAGCATGTTTGCTTTTAGGTCTGACTGTAAATGTTTTGCTCACTTTGCGGAAGATAAACCAAAGTACTTTTGAGTATAACATGTAAATGCAACTAGCTTTTAGCATAATCGTTTTATGCCTGAGAATGTAAATGCGACTAGCATTAGCATGTTCGTTTTAGGCCTGACTGTGCAAATGTTTTGCTTGCTTTGCAGAAGACAATCCAAAACGTATTTGAGCGTATAAATTGAGTGGATATGAGCAGCATGTTTGCTTTGGTGCTGACTGTCTAAATATAGCTAGCATTAGTGTGTCCAGTTTAGACCTGACTGTGTGAATGCAACTAGCTTTAGCATGTTTGCTTTATTTCTAACAATGTATATGTGACTGACATGCACTAGCATTAACGAGATCTTTTAAGACCTGACAGTGTCAACGTATAACCTTATAGCGTGTAAGTTTATGCACATCTTTTTTTAATAGAATAAAAAGGTAATCTTACTTCTATTTATTCGCTAGGAAAAGATGCGCATAAACTATGATGGAAACTCTTTTACCAAACAAATTTGTGTTTGCGCATTAAAAAGGTCATGTGATTTTTGTTATAAGAGATTATGTGGTAATAAAAGTATGCGTGTCAATGGACAAACCAGCAGGCTGAGCTCACTGTAGAACATCTGAAATGTTGTTTTGGTCATTTGGCCATCTCAGTATTAGTGTTGTTAATTACCTCCAGAACTGTCAGGAAGTCTGGAGGTAATATCATGCATATTTATGAAGCAGCAATGGAGTGCACTGGTTGGCGGTCTGGAAAGACTTGGAAGTTTTTCTTCTGAATTAATGCTGAAAACTCTATTGTTACGTGTTTAAGTTAAGATTTTAAAAGGATGAAATGTAACAATCAGCAAGTCTCTATTGATGCTGGATGAAAAATTAAAAGAACTGGTTAAGTGAAACAAAAAGTAAAGCTGCGTCCCAAATCGCATACTTATGCACTATTCTACGCCATTTTGTGGTATAAATAGTGTAAGTAGTGTGTTCACACTGAAAACTCTAAAAACATTAGGTGCACTTTAATTACCCGGATGATGCACTCATTCAGCCGCTAAAATGAAGTGTGTAATGATGGACACTTCACGCACTCAACGACCGCAGGTTTGCTCACGTAGCGGAAGGGGCGGAGCTATCGGACGCACATGTTGAATAACTTTATTTTGGATGGTGAAAGCAAAATTCTCCTACGAGAGTGATTATAGCGCCTCCAGATGGAGAATGCGGCAATACTCACGGCAGGTATTACTTGATAATTCGGTTGTTTATTTCACTGATTTGGCAAACGTCATCAGGGAAACGGTTTGAATTTCCGCTTAGTAAAAAAACATTAGTGTGCCATTTGGGACAACACTATATACATATACTATCCTGTTGAGTGTGTAAGTGCATAAGTACATAGTGCATAGTGTATAGTGTGCCATTTGGGACGCAGGTTAAGTATTTATTTAACCTGATGTCAAACAATGAATAAAGGAAAATATAAGTAATGTTATTGCAATTTTAAATAACAGATTTAAACGAAGTGTTGCCAAAACAAAGAAATAATTATAAAAAAACGATCTAACTAAGCCCCAAACCAACTAACCAACCAAAGAAAAGTGCAGAAACAAAACCGTAACCTTCAGCACGTCGCTCAACTAAACCAGCTCCTGATTGGTGCGCCAATTGCGTCATGGTGGTGATTGACAGCTTTTTCGACCAATGGTCGTACACCTAGAACAGAACAAGTTACACAGCGGAAGAGGAAGAGAACGCAAAACAGTAAACAAACAGCAAAACATATGTGAAACGTAACAATGTCACGTTGTACCGGCCGGTACAAACATTTAGTCTACATGCTGGAGTTTACACAAGGGTCTAATCGCCGTGACGTAGCTTCAAAATTTATTTTCAAATCTGAAGAACGAATTTGCTCAACCACTTTTCACTTTTTTTGTGAAAGATTTGTCCTAATAGTGTTTATAGCAGCATGGTACACGCATATGACTGTCCACATCTCAAAAACTTGTTTTGTGACCCTTTAAAGTTGTTTAAATCTGGTGTTTGTTCCTGCAGGTATTGTCCCGATTGTCGTAATGACGCCAGTGAGGTGGTTCTGGCCGGAGAGAAGCTAAAGGAGAGCAAGAAGAAAGCCAAGATGGCGTCTGCCAGCTCGTCCAGCCAGAGGGACTGGGGGAAGGTGAGTTTTGTACACACGTGCGCACATGCATGCGCGCACACACACACACACACACACACACACACACAAGAGCCCATTTCCACTGAGAGGTACAGTGCGTTAAAGGTAAACTTTGTCAAAACGTTTAAACGTTTCCACTGCCAAAAGGGTACCCTTTTGGTGGGCATGGTGTACGACAGTTTCAGACAACGTTATTTTTACTTGAGGTAAAGTCAAAGTAAAGCTGTACGGGTCGCTCGTATATCATATGAGAAACACTTCTCACGAAACAGATGCTTACTTGTTTATACATGTTCATTATTAACCTTTCTATAAACATGATTTGATTATAACTGCAGATCAATGACAGTGCTAAATAGCCTACTGTAATGTCTGCAATTATATAAAATATAGAAATAAATGCAACATATATGAACACAAACAGACCCTTACAGTCTCCCAAATGTTACCATTTACAGAAAACCTACACACAGCAGACATTTAGTCCTTATTTAGGTTCAAAAACATGCAACATAGCCCACAGTCAGTGCAAACCTCTCATCTGTGTCTGTAATCTTCACCAGCACATGTAAACTCTGTTAGAGTATTTCTGTCACTCCGATGGCAGTTTGTTCAGGTTTTAGGATGCTGAAACAATCATTTGCTCCTTTGATTTTTTTTTTTTTCCTTTGAAGTTTTTTCGCGCTTCACTCTTGAATTTGTCTGTTTATGAATGATCACGCGCACTTCATTATTATGAGCTCAAGAAGTTCATTATTTCAAATATAGAACCGCTGCGAGCTCCGTGAATCCGTGAACGTAAATCCGCTCTCACTTTAAATGGGCTCGTAAAACAACAACAGGACATGGCAGATTTTGTTCTTGGCTTTGTGGCTGTTCAAGATGATGACAAGGTTTGGTTGAGCTTGGATTGACCATGGCTTGTTGTTATATGTATATATTGTTACGATTTAATGTCTCCGCTGTGTTTTGATGCATCTCTGTAAACCAATAGCGTTCAGCTGCGCGTCTAGCTCCGCCTTATGGTACCTTTGAAGGCTCATGCCCACCGAGACGTTTTTTGCTCATGTTTTCTGTCGATGTTTAACGCCTCGTGACTAAATAAAGGGCGTCAATGTGATTGTGCACACCAACGTGCAAAATGCTAGGCTCAAAAGCGTCATTCAAAAAAAAAAAAAAGCCTCATGCTCATTTTTTTTATTTTGACGCACTGAGTCTAAACCTTTTCCACCAATCAGGTTGGCACTTTTGATTAGTGTATGGAGCTGCTGAAGTTACAGTAAACAGCACTTGGAGGCGCTCAAGTGCAAAACTGTCAATGCGAGCGCATTGAAGAAGATGCCCAGAGGCGATATGAACGTAGAGCTGCTTATTGTACTGGTGAACAAGAATCATTTCTTCATCGCTAGAGCTGGAGCTTGAACCATCCATGCTTGTTCGAGTCGCCAGTAACTTTAATACCAAGCGTGTGAACTTCCTCTCTTCCTCATCTTCTGTGTTTATAAACGGGTGTCAGAAGCTTAAAGTTGAGTAGCGCCATCTAACGTCAAGGAGTGATTTTGCATGCTCTTCCGCTTGACGCCAATGAAAATCTCTTGGGTTTGAATACGGAAAAACGTCTCTTAAAACGCTGACGATAAACGCAAACGAAAAGTGTCCTGGTGTGTTCAAGCCTTTAGGCCTGTTGGTTCCCATTTGCAAAGTGTGACAAAGAGCGTACTCGCACTGTGCCATCAGAACCGTGCCCAGGTCCGTTTCCCGGATCGTTTGAGATCCGGGATCCTTTATCATTGTTTATGAGCGTCAAAAGTGGTGGATCGGTTCAGCGAAATATCTGACTGCGTGTCACTGCATCCCTACGGACTGTTTGGTGAAATATTTGACTGCATGTCACTGCATATTATACGTCTTTAACGATATACTAGAGAAATCTCCACTGTGAGCAAGAGCGCTTACTGAACAGCGCAGCAGCAGTGACGTAAGCGTGCCCAGGCCCGATTGTGGTGCAAGTGCGGGCCATCGGGGAAGACTGGAGGGGGGACAAGCGTGCTTTGGCCTGGTTCGAGGCAACTGTACATAGTGTGATTACAGCCAAAGGGGTACAGTTTGCTTTTAGGTACCTTTTGACAGTGGGAACAGCCATAAAAGCGTATCGAACCATACCACTCAGTGGAAACGGGCCTAGAGTCTCTCAGATACAGTGTTTAAGTGTGTGTGTGTGTGTGTGTGTGTTCATCAGGGTATGGCGTGTGTGGGACGCACCAAACAGTGCACCATCGTCCCCTCAAACCACTACGGCCCCGTTCCTGGAGTCCCGGTGGGAACACTCTGGAAATTCAGGGTACAGGTGAGTTGCTGAACACTTAATAATTATGTGTGGTTGCTAGGGTATTCCAGGTGATTTCTGGGTAACATGTATTGTTGCTAGGGTATTTGAATGTGTCATGTTATCCTGCTGATAGCCAGTTCTGGGTTTGTTTATGTTTCAGGTCAGTGAATCAGGCGTCCACAGGCCTCACGTGGCAGGAATTCACGGCAGGAGCAATGACGGCGCTTATTCTCTGGTTCTGGCTGGAGGTTATGAAGACGACGTGGTACGTTTACATTCTCTCGTTCTTCAGGAACTCTCGCGCTCTGTCCTGTGTTTGACCTGTGAATGTGTGTGTTTCCTCCAGGATGATGGGAACGAGTTCACCTACACAGGCTCCGGTGGACGAGACCTGTCCGGAAACAAAAGGACGGCCGAGCAGTCCTGCGACCAGAAGCTGACCAACATGAACCGGTCAGCAGCACCTCACTAGCTAGCGTTATTTATAGCAACTGTTAGCAAGTTTGCACTAAGCCAGCCAGTGAAAATGCAACTGACACGTTTCAGCATTAGCACACTCACTTTAGGCTTGAACGTGTACCGCGACTAGCTTTTTAGCATGTTCACTTTAGGCCTGACAGCTTTAATGTGGCTAGCATTAGCACACACTCCTCAGGCCCGACACTGTAAATGTGACTAGCATTAGGGTTGACAGTGTAAATCTGACTAGCATTAGCCCACTCTTTATGCCTGACCATGTAAATGTGACTAGCATTAGCACTTTCACTTTAGGCCCAATACTGTAAATGTAACTAGCATTAGGTCCGGCACTGTAAATGTGACTAGCATTAGCATACTCGCTTTAGGCCCAATACTGTAAATGTGACTAGCATTAGCACACTCACTTTAGGTTTGACACTGTAAATGTGACTAGCATTAGCACTCACTTTAGGCCCAATACTGTAAATGTAACTAGCGTTAGCACAATCACTTTAGGCCCGGCACTGTAAATGTGACTAGCATTAGCACACTCACTTTAGGTTTGACACTGTAAATGTGACTAGCATTAGCACTCACTTTAGGCCCAATACTGTAAATGTAACTAGCGTTAGCACAATCACTTTAGGCCCGGCACTGTAAATGTGACTAGCATTAGCACACTCACTTTAGGTTTGACACTGTAAATGTGACTAGCATTAGCACACTCACTTTAGGCCCAATACTGTAAATGTAACTAGCGTTAGCACAATCACTTTAGGCCCGGCACTGTAAATGTGACTAGCATTAGCACACTCACTTTAGGTTTGACACTGTAAATGTGACTAGCATTAGCACACTCACTTTAGGCCCAATACTGTAAATGTAACTAGCGTTAGCACAATCACTTTAGGCCCGGCACTGTAAATGTGACTAGCATTAGCCTACTCGCTTTAGTTCTGACACTGTAAATGTGACTAGCATTAGCACACTCATTTTAGGCCCAATACTATAAATGTGACTAGCATTAGCATACTCACTTTAGGCCCAATACTGTAAATGTAACTAGCATTAGCACACTCACTTTAGGTCTGACAATGTAAATGTGACCAGCATTAGCACACTCCCTTTAGGTCTGGCACTGTAAATGTGACTAGCATTAGCATACTCCCTTTAGGCCCAATACTGTAAATGTGACTAGCATTAGCACACTCACTTTAGGTTTGACACCTGTAAATGTGACTAGCATTAGCACACTCACTTTAGGCCCAATACTGTAAATGTAACTAGCGTTAGCACAATCATTTTAGGCCCAATACTGTAAATGTGACTAGCAGTAGCCTACTCGCTTTAGTTCTGACACTGTAAATGTGACTAGCATTAGCACACTCATTTTAGGCCCAATACTGTAAATGTGACTAGCATTAGCACACTCACTTTAGGCTTGAACGTGCACTGCAACTTGCTTTAGCATATTCACTTTAGGCCTGACCCTGTTGATGACTAGCTTTAGCACACTGATTTTAGGCCGGACAGTGTAAATGTGACTAGCATTAGCCCTCTCATTTTAGGTACAATACTGTGAACATGACTAGCATTAGCACACTCATTTTAGGTACAATACTGTAAATATGACTAGGATTAGCGCACTCACTTTATTCCCAATACTGCAAATGTGACTAGCATTAGCACACACATTTTAGGTACAACAGTGTAAATGTTATTATCATTAGCACACTTGTTTTGGGTCTAACAATGTAAATGCAACTAGCACTAGCATAAGCATGTTCTCTTTATGGCTTGACACTAAAATTGCAATTAGCTTGTTTGCTTTACGGCCCAAAAGTGTAAATGAAACTAGCATTAGCACACTAGCTATGGGCCTGACTGTGGAAATGTGACTGTCAGACCCCAAAACAGCATACTAATAGTCATTTAAACGCAACTAGCATAAGCACACTTTCTGTAGAGCTTGACACTAGAGTTGCAGTTAGCATGTTTACTTTATGGGCTGAAAGTGTAAATCAGACTAGCATTAGTGCATTCGCTTGAGGCCTGACAGTGAAAAGTGATTGTCATAACGAGTGTAATCTTAACTTCTGGGTGAACGATCGCTCTAATTTGAGTGTGATTTTGTTTTTAGGGCTCTCGCTCTGAACTGTAACGCAGCAGTGAATGATAAGGAAGGAGCTGAAGCTAAAGACTGGAAGGCTGGGAAACCGGTGCGAGTCGTGCGCAGCTCTAAAGGACGCAAACACAGCAAATACTCTCCCGAAGACGGAAACCGATACGACGGCATCTACAAGGTCAGCACGTCTAGGGCATCACGGGGGATGGCTTTCCTTTATTACTCTGTTAATTCGAGTAATTACTCAAATTTATTTATTTTTTTGCCGTCCTGCACATTATTTTATACAAGTCTTTATTATATTTCTTGCCTATATTTATTTCTTTTTAATTATTTGTTTAATCTGTTATTTGACTAAGTTTAATGCAAAATCCAGGATGGCGCATGAATGGATTTACTTTTTAATTATTTGTCTTTATTTATTTACTTTGAGTAATTTTTCCCATCTTTTTTTTTTTACTCTTGTTATTATTATTATTATTATTATTATAATTATTATTATTATTTATATATGTTTTATTATTATTTATATTTTATTCAGATTTTTCACTCAGGCCATTTGTTGTTGTTTTTGTTGTTTTACTATTAAATTTTTTTAATAAACTTTTTTAAAAACATATTATTTATAATTTTTTTTATTCAGTTTTTTCCTCACTCTATTTGCTGTTTATTATGTAAATATTTTGTTGTTGTTGTTGTTATTATTTTTATTATTATTAATTAATATTTTCTTTTTCTTTATTCAGTATTTTGTACAATTTAAGGTCATTTGTTGTTGTTGTTTATGATGTGACAATTTATTGTTATTATAATTTTATATTCAGTTTTTTTCCCCTCAGGCCATTTGTTGTCATTAATTATTTGATTGTTGTTGTTGTTGTTGTTATTATTATTCATATTTAGTATTTATTTTAATTTTTTAATTTAGTTTTTTTCCCCCTTAGGCAATTTGTTTATTTTACTATTAATTAGTTTTATTATTATTACTTTTTAATGCAGCAATTTTGTTGTTGTTGTTGTTGTTGTTGTTGTTGTTGTTGTTGTTGTTGTTGTTGTTGTTGTTGTTGTTGTTGTTATTATTATTATTATTATTATTATTATTATTATTATTATTATTATTTAATTAGTTTTTTTCCTCAGGTCATTTGTTGCTTGTGATGATATTAATATTATTATTTATTTATTAATCTTTTTTTTCCCTCAGGCCATTTGTTGTTGTTTATTATTTGATTGTTGTTGTTGTTGTTATTATTATTATTATTATTATTATTATTTATTTAGTTTTTTTCCTCAGGTCATTTGTTGCTTGTGATGATATTATTATTATTATTTATTTATTAATCTTTTTTTTCCCTCAGGCCATTTGTTGTTGTTTATTATTTGATTGTTTTTGTTGTTGTTGTTGTAGTTATTATTAATATTTAGTATTTATTATATTTATTTTTAATTTAGTTTTTTCCCCCTCAGGAAATTTGTTTATTTTACTATTAATTAATAATTATTATTATTATTTATTTATTTTTTTCCTCAGGTCATTTGTTGTTTGTGACTTTATTATTATTATTAGTATTATTATTATTATTATTATTATATTTATTTATTAATCAGTTTTTTTTTCTTTCAGTCTATTTGTTGTTCATTATTCTACTATTTAATTTATTTTTATTATTAATTATTATTATTTTTATTACTTCAATTTATATCAGCATTTTTTTTTAATTCAATAAAGTATTTATTCTCTGCCTATTTGTATTATATTTAATTACAATCACTTAATTCTTTTTGTATTAAAGTTTGTCAAATTTGTTTTGTTTTGTTTGTTTTCTTTATACATTGTTCATTTATTTTAGTATATTTTTAGTATATTTTAAGTTTATATTTTCTTATTTTAATTGTTGTTTAATCATAGTTTTTAGTCATTAATCCGGATGTGTTCATTAGGTGGTGAAGTACTGGCCGGAGAAGGGCAAGTCTGGATTCCTGGTCTGGAGGTATTTACTGAAGCGAAACGATGAGGAATCCGCACCGTGGACCCGAGATGGAAAAGAGCGCATCAAGAAACTGGGCCTCACCATGCAGGTAATGGACGAATCAAGCTCATTTTACCCCAAAATCACAAATCGCATCTAAACATCACAAATCCTGCTCTCCTCAGTATCCTGAAGGCTATCTGGAGGCTGTAGCTGCAAAAGAGAAGGAGAAAGAGAACAAAAACGAAGACGACATTGAAGAAACGCCAACCAAAGGCAAGAGGAAGAGGAAATCCCAGAGCAGTGAGTAACGAACCCTAATTTTAAATAAACATCAATCAGCATAAACTTAATTTTTTTTTAAACATCTCATATCTTGGACATTTTAGCATTAGCATTAGGTCTGAGAATGTAAACATGACTGACATGTTAGCATTAGCATGCTGGTTTTAGGCTTGAAAGTAAAATTGAGATTAGAGTTAGCAAACTTGATTTAGACCTGACAGTGTAAACGTAACTGTCATGTTAGCATTAGCTTGCTCGCTTTAGGCCTGACATTGTGGGCGTGACTTGTTTTAGCATTAGCATGTTTCAATTAGGCCTGACCGTTTACATGTGATCGCACTAGCATTAGCATGCTTTAGGCTTGAGAGTGTAAATGTAACTGACTTGCGATTAGCATGTTCACTTTAGGCCTGACAGCAAAAATAAGACTAGCATTAGCTTGCTCACTTTAGTCCTGACTATGTTAACATGACTAGCATATGCACATCTGCTTTAGGCCTGACAGTGTAAACATGACTAGCATTAGCATGTTTGCTTTTGGTCAGTGTAACTGATACTCATTAGCAGTAGCTGCACTATCGTTAACTGCAGGCATAACTAGCATAAGTTGTACTTTTTAATGCAATACAAGCACACTATTGTAAACGTCGCCTCATTGTGCCCTTGCTAGTGGAAGAGAAAAGCTCTCCGACCAAAGGGACGCCGAAGAAGATGAAGGTGGAGGCGTACAAGCTGAGCAAAGAGCAGAAGGCGCTGATCAAAGACGACGAGCTCAACAAGAAGCTGTGGGACGAGGCCATGGAGTCGCTGAGTCTCGGGCCGGTGAGCACTGTGACAATCAATCATGATAGACTCGTCTGATGCTGCGTTCGTCTTTAATGACATCATCTTTTCTCTCTGTAGCGCTTTGTTAATAAAGTGGAGGAGGTTTTCCTGTGCATCTGCTGCCAGGAGGTCGTCTATCAGCCCATTACTACAGAGTGCCAACACAACGTCTGCAGGGTGAGACACGCAAAACACTTCAGTTGTCCGCTCTTCGTACCACGATTAAATGATCTAAAATGATTAGGCAGATCCTGGATCTGTTTATCTTGATAACTGGGATCCGTTTTTCGTACCTCGCTTAAATGATCTTGGATAATTTGTCAGATCCTGGATCTGTTAATCTTGATAACTGGGGTCTGTTCTTCATACCTCGCTTAAATGATCTTAGATAATTTGGCAGATCCTGGATCTGTTAATCTTGATAACTGGAGTCTGTTCTTCGTACCTCGCTTAAATGATCTTAGATAATTTGGCAGATCCTGGATCTGTTAATCTTGATAACTGGGGTCTGTTCTTCGTACCTCGCTTAAATGATCTTAGATAATTTGGCAGATCCTGGATCTGTTAATCTTGATAACTGGGGTCTGTTCTTCATACCTCGCTTAAATGATCTTAGATAATTTGGCAGATCCTGGATCTGTTAATCTTGATAACTGGGGTCTGTTCTTCATACCTCGCTTAAATGATCTTAGATAATTTGGCAGATCCTGGGACTGTTAATCTTGATAACTGGGGTCTGTTCTTCATACCTCGCTTAAATGATCTTAGATAATTTGGTAGATCCTGGATCTGTTAATCTTGATAACTGGGGTCTGTTCTTCATACCTCGCTTAAATGATCTTAGATAATTTGGCAGATCCTGGAACTGTTAGTCTTGATAACTGGGGTCTGTTCTTCATACCTCGCTTATATGATCTAAGATAATTTGGTAGATCCTGGATCTGTTAATCTTGATAACTGGGGTCTGTTCTTCATACCTCGCGTAAATGATTTTAGAAAATTTGGCAGATCCTGGATCTGTTAGTCTTGATAACTGGGGTCTGTTCTTCATGCCTCGCTTGTATGATCTAAGATAATTTGGCAGATTCTGGAACTGTTAATCTTGATAACTGGGGTCTGTTCTTCGTACCTCGCTTAAATGATCCAAGATGAGTTGGCAGATCCTGGATCTGTTAATCTTGATAACTGATCTGTGGCTAATTTGGTTCTTCAAACAAGTTCATAAATCAGATACAAATGTCTGGATGAACATCTGAGATCGCTGCGTGTGTTGTGAAGGACAGATCTATTGATTCTCGAAATCATGATCAGCAATGCAATGATTGGCTGACGGCACAGCAGCATAATGACATCATCTGAATAATATTCAGTTATCCATGGGAGCAAAATTACCACAAATTAGTAATAAATGTTGTGTTAAATATGATCCGCAATAACTTTTCACATTTGTTTTGAGCTGCAGGGTTTACACTTTCATGTGTCGAGAGTAGCTATTTATTTAGCTTGACATTTTAGAGTGGATTTTCTTTATGCCGGCAGTACATTTAAATTCATCCTCTGTTCTCCACAGGAATGCCTTCAGAGATCTTTCAAAGCCAAGGTCTACACCTGTCCGGCCTGCCGACACGACCTGGGCAAAAACTACCAAATGGCGGTCAACAAACCCCTCCAAGCCATCCTCACCCAGCTCTTCCCCGGATACAGCAGCGGCCGGTGTTGACGATGTCCAAAACGCGCCTTACAATTCCACGAATCAAAATGCATTTCGTGTTTTTAAAATTATTTTACAAATACGTCAGGTTGTTGTAGCATGGATCGAAAAATGTTGATTCAGCCGCGCTACAGGATTTGTGATCTGACTGTCTAGCCACTCGACTTCTGTCCGTTGTAGTTGTTTTTTTTTTCTGAATTGCGAATTTACAAGTAAAGCTGATTTCTCTAGCGATCTAGATGTGTTTTAGCTATAGTTGCTTCAATGACATATTGTCTTGTATGCTACACACCAGCACAATGAACTGCAGCTATGCACAATTACGATGTTCGTTAACATTTATCGCAGTGATTTTGTTATTCTGATTAATTGTACAACAGCATTGGATTTAGAATCCAGATGAATTGATGCCGTTTTTCAGTTAGAACCATAGCTATGCATAATTACTATGTTCGTTACCTGTTTCACAGTAATTTGTAAGTTTACAATGATTTGTACGAAAACCCTGCCTTAAGAATCCCGACCAAGTAAACTAGCTGCAAACTTAGTCGCAAACATAACTGTGCATAGATGGTTCATTCGTAAATTTAGTTAGCGCTAATTTAGTTTGCGTCTTAAACAGCGTGTGGCATTTAACGTCTTTACCACAATATTGTTAGTGTTAAGTAAATTGAAATGAACAGTATGTGATGTTTGACGTTTTTACCATAACATCGTTACTGTTAGCTAAATTTGAATCAACAGTGTGCTACGTCTGACTTTTTTATAATAGCATTGTTACCGTGTTTGTTTACCTTTTTGTCCCCGAAATTTTTCATTACAATCAATTGTACGAAATATATGCCTTTAGAATCCCGACCAAACGTAACCGTATAGCTAGTTCATTTCAGTTTAGTTGGTGCTAATTTAGTTTGCCGCATCGTTTGACGTTTTTACCATAACATTGTTCGTATCAAGTAAATTGAAATGAACCATTTAACGTTTTTACCTTAACATTGCTACCGTGTTTATTGACCAATGTTATTTGCAAAAACTTGTCATTTACAATTCGTATGAAAACCCTGCCTTTAGAATCCCAACCAAACTATCTATTTTCAAACTAAATTAGTCACAGATGTAACCGTGCATAGTTTATTTCAATTAAGGTAACGCTAGTTTGCGTTTTTACCATAACATTGTTAGCTTTAATGAAATTGAAATGAACAGTGTGACATTTGACATTTTTTACCATAACATCATTAGTTAACCAATTTAAAATGAACATTGTTGACATGAAATTAAGTGTGCATTTTTTTTTTTACCATAACATTGTCAGCATTTACTAATGTAAAATAAACTAGCTATGCATGATTCGTTTCTAGTTTGAGGTGCCAAAATTTTTATTTTACCTTCTTTGCCGCTTACTAAATTTAATTGGAGTTTCTATGCATTGTTGCAATGTTGCGATGCTAATCTCCCAATAAGCTTTATGAACATCTATATTTCTTCATTTATGACATTAACACAACTTTGTGACTATTTGTGTTTCACGTGTTACCATCGTTAGTGTTAACATTGTATAAATGAGCTAGCCATCCACTTTTCTCAATGTTTGTAATGCTAATCTCCCAACTTTTCAGAGCAATATTTTGTTATTTAAGTTTAACGAAATTTTGTACGAGTTAAGAGTTAAATTTTCTATTACGGTAATGATTGTTGTATCATCTTTAGCATTAGCTATGCATTACCGCAATGCTAATCTGTATTTTTCCACATGTATTCTTTTCTCTTGACGCTAACACAACTGAGGAAAATTTCAAAGCGCAAACCTTTTTGTTACCAACATTAGTTCTAACTGAATTTATAAGCTAGCTATGAACTATCAGTGTTCGCGATTCTAATCTCCTAGATTGTTATTGCTTGTAATGCATTCACTTGACGTTAATAAGCTTTTATATCGGTTTTGAGCCATGTCTAAATGTGCAGCAGTAGCATTTTTACTGTACTATTGTTAACGCTAACTAAATATTCGGATAAACTAGCTATGCACTGTTATGATGTTTCCGTGGCTAATACTCCAACTCTTCACAAATTTATGGTGCCGTAGCTTTACTAGCACACAGAAACGTTTGTTTACGTTTCGACTTTATTAAATCTTTTTATATTCTATTGCCGTTATTGGTAACTAACTAAATTTAACCTTAAATTGATTCATTTTTAACCAAATAGTAATTTACGCAAATAAAACTTTGAACTTATACTTTTCGTCTCACCCATTTTGATACGCGATTAAAATTTTTATATGCTCTGAAGTTATTAGATATCCCACTTTGTTTGTTATTTGCTTTGCTGTTTAACTGCTGTATGTCCTTTTAGAAGTGGAGTGTCATTTTCACACTAACTTTTGCCGTTATGCAAACAGTAGTCATGTGCGCGAAACTAGTCCACGATCTGTATTTCAGGTGCATTTTTGCGTCGATCCTGGATCTGGTTTTAAGCGTCTTGATTTTACAAAGGTTTTCGAGGGTAAATCCTTAAACCATTTTTCCGCACAAAGCCCCAACAGTTTTTCATTCAGGAAGTATTTAAGTGCATCGTCTTTTTCGCCTTGATGTTTTTCGCTTGTTACTATAGTATTTGCTAAATAAATGCCTAATGGCTGCAGATAATTACTTTTTTGCGTTTGTTTTATTTGTTTTCCTTTTAGCTATACCTCAATTTCTAATATTTGCGTAGACTGGAGCTGTATATTCTGAAATTTTGAAATTGTATATTTTTAGCACTTGTTTGCCCATTTTATGTAGTGGTTTGTTCCGTAGATATTCATAGCTGGGATAAGTGCTATATTTTTCAATAAACTGTATTGAACTTTTATATAAAAGAACCTGAACGTGTCTATGTCCTTGTTTTCACTTCTATTTTATTGAAATTTGTCATATTTGCTACTTTTATGAGGAAATGAGGCTCGTTGCTTGCATTGTATTACAAGTATGCCCTAAAATATCATTTATAAATATGGTTTACCTCATAAACATCAGATACAAGTGGTTTTAATATTTTTTCATCGACAAAATTTAACTTAATTGTGATTTAAAGTCAATAAATATTTGCGACAAACTAGATTCATATTATATATGATGCAATGTGTTTGTACAATCTCTACACACGTTTAAATTGACCTTTTAATACAATTTATAACACCTTGTGAGCATAATATGGTCAAAACACAAAGAAAAACACGAATATAATCGCTAAATATCGATTATATTCCTTGATCAAACGTATACCCAAACATGTCATACCGGAAGACACACCGTTAATACGTGAAATACGTGTTTTCCGTAATAGTAACGCGCAAACACAACGTAAAAGGCTAGTCGAGCTGTCAATCAAAGCCTTCAGCGAATTGGCGTGTACGGTTAACTCCAACTCAGCCAATCAGATCGCGCGTCACGCTGCAGTGGGAGGAAACGCGGCCCAGCGTTACTGAAACATTATCGAGCCTGTGGAATAGCGAAAACGGACATATTCGAGGCAAAAACAACGACAAAAGAGCACAAAACGAGCCCGAGCAGCAGGTAAAAACACATTTACCTCAATAATACAGCTTTCTACGTCGAATCCGCAGACATAAACCGAGTTTTTATTGTGATTTGTGGTGTTGTTCGACTGCTGTGTTGATATGCTTGTCAAAGCAGCAGCACAAGCGCTGCTAGCCAAATATAAACACATTAGAGCACATTTAATTGACTGTTCAATGCATAAACCACACTATATACGGTTTACTATGCATTAGAATGATGCATCGTGGGATTTCGAGCGATTTTCAGCCTTTTAGCCGTGCTGTAATCAACTGAAGGCAGGACAGATACACAAAGGCCATTTAAACCCTTCATCTTAATGCTGTTTGAACTTGACACCAAACAACCTGCCACGCTTTCCACCCTTATATTCGAGTTTTATTGCTTTTTATACATGCATCTGCTTTTCCACTAAGCCTCACGCTTGTTTTTAATAATAATCGCTAATAAACGAGTCTAATAATCCATCAAAGCAGGATGACGTGCGTAATTTGCATACAGTTATCGATCATTTGTCTCATGCATGCACTCGTAATGTTTATGCACACGTACTTCATTGTTATCAGTAATATCTAAAAATGTGAAATGTCAGTATTTAAAAGCTAGTTAAGGGATTTGGATCTGTTGATTTTGTTATTATTTATTAATTTATGTTGTGCATGCAGTTATTAAGTGTTTAATGCATGCACTCGTAATGTTTATTCACATGAATATGTTCTTTATTGTTATTAGTAATATCTAAAAATTTCAAATGTGAGTATTTAAAAGCTAATTAATGTATTTGGATCTGTTGATTTCTTTTTGCATGCAGTTATTAATCATTTGTTTTATGCACGTGCTCTTAATGTTTGTGCACATAAATATGCACTATATTATTATTAATAATATCTTAAAATGTGAAATATGAGCATTTAAAAACTAGTTAAGGGATTTGGATCTGTTGATTTTTTTTTTTTATTAATTAATTTATTTTTTTTTTTGTGTGTGTGTGTGCATGCAGTTATTGATCAATTGTGTCATGCATGCACTTGTAATGTTTGTTTACATATATATGTACTTTATTGTTAATAATAATACCTGAACATGTGAAATATGAGCATTTAAAAGCCAATCAAGACATTTACATCTAGTGATTTTTTTATTTTCATTTTTTACTTTTTTGCATGCAGTTACTGAGCTTGTGTTTTATAAATACACTCGTAATGTTTATGCACATAAATATGTACTTTATTGTTATCAATAATATTTGGAAATTTAAAATATGAATATTTAAAAGCTAATTAAGGGATTTGGATCTGTTGATTTCTGTTTCTTGCATGCAGTTATAAATCTTTTTTTCCTCATGCATGCACTTGTAATGTTTGTTTGCATATTGTGTACTTTATTGTTATCAATAATATCTGTAAATGTGAAATATGAGTATTTAAAAGCTAATGAAGGTATTTGGATCTGTTGATTTATTATTATTATTTGTTTGCATGCAGTTCTCGAGCATTTGATTTATGCATACTCTCTTAATGTTTGTGCATATAAATATGTACATGCAAAATGTGAATTATGAGTATTTAAAAGCTAGTTAAGGGATTTTGATCTGTTGATTTTGTTTTTTTTGTGCATGCAGTTATTGATCATTTGTTTTCTGCATGCACTCGTATTGTTTATGCACTTAAGTATTTTATCATTATCAATAATTTCTGGAAATGTAAAATATGGATATTTATTTTTTTTTGTGGTGGTGTGATTCATATTTTTAATATTAATATAAAAAGGGTCGTTTTTAGTTTTTACAGCTTAGCATACAATAAAAGGTGCGTTTGATGTATTTTTGTTTATGCATGACAGATAATTGTGCATTCAATACCAAAAAAGTAGAGTAAATACAAAAGAAAATACAAGTAAAGGGTTTTTATTGCTATAAATGTTTGCTCTCATATTTATTTTTGTTTTTCTGTTCAAAAATGATGACCATTATCCATTTTCTTTGTGTTTTCTAAGAAGATACATGTGAAAATATTTAGTCCAACAATAGTTTATCTGTTCAAAAATCTTATCTGACTTATTTTAAATGTTTTTTTGCATTATTCATAATTTGTTTTGCACAATAAGTGTCAGATTATAGTAGTATTTGAAATTTTAGATGTCAAAAAAATGTGTGTTAAATATGAGTATTTAAAAGCCAATTAAGGGATTTGGATCTTTTGATTTCTGTTTTTTTGTGTGTGCATGCACTCGTAATGTTTATGCACATACTAGGTACTTTAGCATTACCAATAATATCTGGAAATGTCAAATATGAGCATTTAAAAGTTAATTAAGGGATTTGGATCTGTTAATTTTTTTGTGTGTGCATGCAGTTATTGATCATTTCTCTTAAGCATGCACTTGTAATGTTTGCGTACATAAATATGTACTGTATTGTTATCAATAATATCTGGAAATGAAAAATATGAGTATTTTAAAGCTAACGAAGGTAGTTGGATCTGTTGATTTTTTTTTTATTGTATTTTTTTATGCATGCTGTTATCGAGCATTTGTTTTGTGCAATGGCTCATTATGTTAATGCAAATAATAATGTATTTGAAAGTTTGAAATATGTTCTTTTTAAAGCTAGATACGTATATATTAGTTTATTTCATGCATTTTTTTGTGGTTGCGTGATTAATGTTTTTAATATTAACAAGTTTTATGTCATTTCAACAGCTTAGCATTCAATAAAAGGTGCATTTGCTGTATTTTAGTTCATGTATGACATACGATTGTATCATTAATACCAAGAAAATACAGTAAATCCAAAAGAAAATACAAGTAAAAGGTTTTTATTGTTATAATAGTTTGCGCTTTTATTTGTTTTTATTTTTAAAAATAATGACCATCGTCCACATTCTTTGAGATTTTAAGAAGATGCACGCTAAAAATATTCAGTCCACCAATAGTTTATATGTCTAAAATCTTATCCGACTTATTTAAAATGTTTTTTTTCTTTCTTTTGCATTCTAAATGCATTCGTGTGTGCATTTCACCGATTCATGAATTAAGTTTTAAATGAATACACGTACACATTAAGGACTACAGTGTTGTTATAGTTTGAGTATGCAAAGTTTTATCTGTCAAAAGAGATCATGACATTTGTTTTGTACGCAACTCTGAAGCTATTTCCAAGTAGTGACATTTATTATTAATATTTATCATCTGGTAATGTCAAATTGTTTTTAGAAAAATGTAAATGATCTGTATTTTGGTGTGTGCATCAACTTGCGCCACATAATAAGTTCATTATAATTAGGATTTTGTGTTTAAGTTAAAATAAAAGGGCAAACCTATTCTTGATTTGTTCTTAAAATAGATTTAAATTGATAAAATATGTCATTATACCTCATTTTGAATGATTTTTTTTTCTGGTGAATAGATTAAAATGTAGTGCTTTGAAGGGTAATATTTTCCTTTGTAGATTAAAAATAACAGTCAACTTTAATATTTTGGGGCTTAAAAGAATTCATTTTTACACTAGAACAAATTTTAGTCTGTCTAAATCTTGTACATGTCATAATTTTGTTTGTAGGGCTGCACAATATATCGTTTAGACATCAAAATTGCAGTGTGATCCTTTGCAATAGATGCATCGCAGAATATGCGATGTTGAGTGTGTTATTTATTATATGCATGTGCACATGATAAACCCCAAAAAGTTTATAGATTGTTTATTAGATTTTATAAAAATGCAAATAGTAAACGTTAATTCATCAATCATTGATTAAATGCATGCAAATACTGAAATGCCCTGTAAATAGCGCAAACAACAACGAAAATGTGTCTGGGAAATGTATAGAGTGTTTTTATATATTCTATAGTGATGCACTCCCACTGGAATATCACCCCAATTGATCTAACATTATAGATTATTTCCAACCAGAGATATTAGGACATCTGGTAAAATTAAACTCCTATAGCAATATATGTTGCAAAAAAAAAAAAAAAAAAAAAAAAAAAAAATATATATATATATATATATATATATATATATATATCGCAATATATATATTTTTTATATATATATATATATCGCAATGCTAGATTTTTTTCAATATCATGGAGCTCTATTTGTTTGGATTGTAATGTCCTTGACCCTCATAAGAAAATATTATACACATGTTTAAATCTTTATTGGTTAACAAATTATTTTAAGTAGCATTTTAGAATTTTACCTGTTATAATTTGTGCGTTGCATAAAATTCATGAAGTATTAACAAAAATGTGTCGTCTTTTTAAATACTTTAAAACTGCACTTTGCAATGTACATCAGAGAGTGAAAATTAATTTCATACTGCGTTAGTTAAATGATCAATTATTGATGTGCAAAATAGTCTCATGTGTTTTTTTAAATAATGTCAAATCCTGCATTAAAGAAGTTTTGTTCTCATAGTTGATGTGTGCGTGTTTGTGTGTGTGTGTGAACGTGTTTTAGTGACATATCAGGACACATCTGTATAATGATGACAGGGGTATGACACAGGTATTACAAAAAGGAGGTGAAACGTGAGGACATTGGTGACGTCCTCATTTCTCAAAAAGCTTATAAATTCTACAGAATGAGTTTAATCAGAGAGTAAAGCTGCACACGGTCTCCTGTGATGGTTGGGTTTAGGGGTGGGGTGGGGTGAGGGCAATATAATATACGGTCGGTTTAGAATAATTAATAATAATTAGTATAAAATCAATGGAAACCTATGTAATGTACCCACTTTTCACAAAAACAAACGTGTGTGTGTGTGTGTGTGTGTGTGTGTGCGCGTATGCGTGTGTGTGTGTGTGTGTTTTGTCTTCACGAGTGTGGTGTTTTTCTTCATTTTTCTGGTCTGTGTGTTTCTGATGAAAGCGTCTGCAAGGCTGCAGGTCAGATGAGGACAGTCTGGGGCTTTGTTTTGGTGCTTTTTCAGTGTTTGTCTGCTGATTTGTATTATTTTTGAATTTTTTTTGTGCATGTTTGGATAAAATCAATCTTAAGTGAAATAATATAAGTACTAATTGTTGTAATATAAATTAATGAATTCATTAATTATTTAAATTAGTGCTGCACGATACTGGAAAAATATGCAGTATTGTGATAACGATATTTCCTACAGTATAACATTTCTTTAGAGAAATGCTCTTTTCATTAGCCATGTTTTTAAATCATGCATTCATTTTCTTGTCGGCTTAGTCCCTTTATTAATCTGGGGTCGCCACAGTGGTATGAACCACCAACTTATCCGGCATGTTTTTATGCAGCGGATGCCCTTCCAGCCGCAACCCATCTCGGGGAAACATCCATACACACACATTGACACACTCACTCATACACTACGGACAATTTAGCTTACCCAATTCACCTACAGCGCATGTCTTTGGACAATGGGGGAAACCGGAGCACCCGGAGGAAACCCACACAAACACAGGGAGAACATGCAAACTCCACACAGAAACGCCAACTGAGCCGATATTCGAACCAGTGACCCCGCAACCTTCTTGCAGTGAGGTGACAGCACTACCCACTGCGTCGCCTGTTTTTAAATAATTTGTTTATTTATTTATTGATATTAAAATAAGCAGTCTATACAATACCTCATGATGTGCAATATGAAGTCTTAAAAGCACTGTGAATGATTGAAAACCTCATCTAGTATATCTAGTAAGAGCTTGATTAGCTGGTTCAGGTGTGTTTGATTAGGATTGGAGCTCAACTTTCCAGGACATCAGCCCTCCAGGACCGAGTTTGGACACCCCGAGATGCAAAAACCTGCGTGGAGCGCGTTCATGCATCATACCGCTATGTGACGCATTTAGTGTATGATTTGCTAAAAAGATAAAATTGCACTGAATAGTCTTCATCGTACATTAGTGTTGTCTCTACTGTATTTCAGTACCAATCGATAGTGAAACTTCTAGGGGTGTCACGATTTCGATTTTTAATCGAAATCGATCAAAATTTATGCTCAATTTCGATTATCGAATCAAAAAATAGAATCGTCGATGCTGCCACGCCCCCATGTTAGCTTGGCTTGCCAAGCGGGAAAAAAACATGCTTGTTGAAGTGCTTGTTAAACTGCAGAAGCAGGAGACCCGTCGACAGAGCTTAAACCCTCTCCTCTTTCAATGAAGTCGCCGCTGTGGAAGCATTTTGGATTTCCAGTGAGTTATGTTGACAACGTTCGTGTTGTCGACAAAAAAAAACACAGTTTTGCAAGCTCTGCTATGTACGTATTACGTACGGTTCGTCCGATAGACAACACCGGCATCGCGATCCTCCGCCCGCCCCCGTTGCAAATCCGCTCACGAAAAGTACACACTCAGGCCCTGTTTACACTGTCTTTGTTTTTAAATGGCATTTTAGAACGACAACGATTTGACATCCACAGTGGCGTGTAGCATTTCTGAGCAGCCCTCCTTCCTGTCTACCTCTGAAAATGCACATCACGTGACCACACAGACACAGACGCACACACAGCTATGCGCTCGAGACAGCAGGTCCAGGCAGTCAGAGGACTGCTTCAATCTTTTACTCACTTGTACTTTGCCATTTTAGCGAACACCTCAGATACTGTTGGCTGGTTCCTGTTGGTTGTGCGTCTTTTTTACCGACGCCATTATAACGACACAGATCACTGCCTATTCACGAGTCCCGCAGAAAAAGTGATTGACAGGTGGTAATTATGTGTGTATCTTGCCTTTATTCATTTACTGTATGATTTGTTTATTTGTAAAACAAAGACCACGCAGGTCAGGTAGTTTAAACGGTAGGCTACAAATAATTAATTGGTCATTAATTAATTAATTATTCATAATCGAAAATCAAATCGAATCGTGCCTTTAGAATCGAAAATGTAATCGAATCGAGGATTTGGAGGATCATGACACTAGGGTTGTAACGGTATGAATTTTTCACGGTATGATAATCGTCTAAAACAATACCACGGTTTGACGGTTTCGCGGTATACGGTATGTTACAAATGTTACAAAATAATAGAACAGTGAAGCAAATTTGACTTTTTCCAAATAATATATTTTTAGTTACTATAAACAACACCGCTTACAATGAACAAATAAAAAATAAAAAAATAATAAATAATGTGTCAAAGTCCAAATAAAGTCCAAATAAACATGGTGCAAATACTCAGTAAAAAATAGATATAAATATTTACTATACTATAAATAGTTACATAACGAAACTAGATTCAATATGGAACATCCTTAGGTTTTATGTGCCAGCATGGATATGGTTGTCTATCGATATGGATTTGGATATGGTTGTCTGCAATGCAGACAAACAGCTGCATCTTCATTTGCGTCTTTTGAAAACAGCAAGAGCAGCAGTTCGTCTTTGCTGTGTCACTGTTTTGTCATGTTTCTGTGCTGCTGTGCATGCAAAAGTACTTAGTATGAGAATTATTTCATGAAAAACTTTTTTTTTTTGCGTTTTATTTAGCCGCGCATAAATGTATGCCTATCTCTCATTCCGTGTTGTTCAAAAAGCTTGGTCCACAAACAAAAGCGAAACCTATGCTTATTGGTTGTGATATAGCGAGTTTGAACCAATCTGGGCATGGAGGAGGGACAATGCATCAATGTATCATGTCTGATTTGTCCAGAGACACAGTGACGAGCGTTTCTTTGTCAAATCAGCGTTGTCAAATGTTGATGACGTAACCGCACTGATTCCGGAGCCTCTGAAAGTCCGCGAATGTTATGTGATACAGCACTGGAAAGCTGAGATTCTCTTCTTTATGCCAATCTTTGAATTGTATGAATCGGATCAGCGGATCAAAAGTTATTAAACATTTAAGAGCAATACTTATTCTTAGCCGCGGGCGGCTGTCTCGGTCTTTAAGGGTTAAAACCGTTGATATGTAATTGTTCATGGTATGATAATCGTGCACGTTCAAATCGTGGTAAACCGTCATACCGGTATATTGTTACAACCCTACATGACACCCTTAGAAACTTCCATTTCCGGCTAACATTTGAGCGCATTATTAAACGGTGCTGATTGGCCGCAGATTGTACCGCTGTTTACTGAGTGTAACCACAGATACAGGGACACGGGAGCACTTTAAAGATCAGTCGATTCATCAGTCGATCACTCGCTCTGAAATGTTTGCAGGAAATGGATGTTTTCAAAATCTCAGTAACGATTGTACCGAATTTCATTGTCAGCACTATTGTATAAGAATAAAATCAATCTTTCTTAAGTGTTACAAGCATTATCATTTATTGTGCCTGAATGCTTGAACTGCTGGAAGTGGCTTAAAATGGTGCGGAGCTGCAGTCTGAAAATATAACAGTTGTGCAGCCCTAAACGATAGAGCATAATATGAAATAGGCATCGGACGATAACCTTTTTCAAGGTATACCGTAGTTTGGAAAAGTCAAGGTTTTAAATACGTCAAAATGTTCTGCTATACCGTTCCTAAGTTATGTGTAAGATTTATTTATTTGTTTGTTTGTTGGTTTGTTAGTTTATTTATTTATTTATTTATTTATTTATTTGTTAATTAATTAATTAGTTAGTTAGTTAGTTAGTTAGTTAGTTAGTTAGTTAGTTAGTTTGTTTGTTTGTTTGTTTGTTTGTTTTTTTTAGGACAGCAGTATCTTCAGCAGAAAAAATATCTGAAAATGGCGTTTTAAATTGTAAAACAAACTCTATTTTGGAAGCAAATGAAGAAAGCTGAAGTCAATAATTTATTCAGCCTGACATGTTTACCGCTCCAAAATATTTTAAATGTTTTTCAAAATAAAATATGTGTTTAAATGGTCTCCAGGTTGGAGGAAAGTCCTTACTCCAGGAGTTTAAGTATCTCGGGGTTTTGTTCACGAGTGAGGGAAGGATGGAGCGTGAGATTGACAGGCGGATTGGTGCAGCGGCAGCAGTAATGCGGTCGATGTACCGATCGGTTGTGGTAAAGAAGGAGCTGAGCGGAACGGCAAAGCTCTTGATTTACCAGGCAATCTACGTTCCTACTCTCACCTAGCTTTGGGCTATGACCGAAAGGACAAGATTTCTGGCCTGGGTGAAGGGTGGCAGGGCGCACTCTTATGGAAAGGGTGAGGAGCTCTGACACCCGGGAGGAGCTCGGAGTAGAGCTGCTGCTCCTCCACATCGAGATAAGTCAGCTGAGGTGGCTTGGGCGTCTATTTTGGATGTCTCCTGGACGCCTACCCAGGGAGGTTATCTAGGCATGTCCCACCGGGAGAAGGCCTCGGGGAGGACCTAGGACAGGTTGGAGGGACTATGTCTCTCGGCTGGCCTGGAAACACCTCGGGATCCCCCGGAGGAGCTGGAGGAAATGTCTGGGGATAGGGAAGTCTGGGGTTCTCTCCTAAGACTGCTGCCCCCGTGACCCGGCCCCGGAAAAGCGGCAGAAAATGAATAAATGAATGTTTAAATGGTAAAAAAGTTGTAGTTTTTTTTTATCCAGACATTTAAAATGAATATATTTTAGAGCAGTAATCACGATACCGCGAAACCGTGAGATTTTTGACCAAGGTTATCATACCGTCAGAATCTTATACCGGCCCATGCCTACTATGAAATGGTCAACTTTTTATGTGGTCCACACAATATATATCATTGTGTCAAGTCATCTTCGTTGACGCGGCTAACACCAATTCTGTGTTTTGTTGTCCACAGCGTTCGCTGACCTGCAGTCATGGACCCATCTTTACCTCCAGACCCAAACCCAGCGGAGACGGAACCCTCTGCAGACGTGACTCCACCAGCAGACACTGATCAGGACTCTCCTATTAACCCTCTGGTGGATCCACAGCCATGCGACACCCCTATTTCAGATCTAGTCCACGAACCGGCGGCGCCCGCAGAACCGACCCCGGCTCAAGGACTGAAACCAGAACTGCCTGCACCAGAACTCACAACACAAAACCTGATCCCAGGACCGGCTCCGGCTCCTCCACCCGGCGCCAACTTCAACAAGATCATGACCTTCAGGCCCACCATGGAGGAGTTCAAGGACTTCGGGAAGTACATCGCCTATATGGAGACGCAAGGAGCTCACGTTGCCGGACTGGCGAAGGTAAACCATTGTATTTTACACTACTGCAGAAATGTTGCGTCGCGTGTTGTTATAAATCCCTCAGCATCAACTTTTATTAATATTCATGAGGTTTAATATTTATTCATTTGATTTTTAACCTGTCTATTTCGTTGGGAGATTGTTGGTATTGTTTTATTTGGTATTTAAAAGTTTCTGTCACGTTGCGTCTGGTGCGGACAAACAATTGAATTATTACTGGAATATTGTTGGAATATATCAAGTTATGCTGTGTGCGGTACTATACTGAATCATAATGCTCAGTCCAAACAAGTCATATAAAATATCATGCAGGGACTTGAACGAATGAGCGATCTTTTGACTGACTGTATATTTACTTTTATGTTTATGTTTTCTTCGTTCTCTCGTCTTGCGATGCTCAGGTTATTCCGCCGAAGGAGTGGAAACCGCGCCGTTCCTACGAGACCATCGAGGATATGGTCATTCCTGCTCCCATCATGCAAGTGGTGACCGGCCAATCTGGGCTCTTCACACAGTACAACATCCAGAAGAAGTCCATGACCGTTGGAGAATATCGCAAACTGGCCAACAGTAAAAAGTACGGTTTACACTTGCATTTCTTTTACCTTTATTTCTAAATGTAAACAATAAAGTCCCTTATAGGATCACTTCACCTCACTTTATATTGAAAAGAGCTCATTTTACAACTCTCCACAAGTTAAAGAGGGAAGGTTTATCGTTTTTGACTCCATTGAGCCGATCTCTAGGGAGTACTATTATAATTAGAAATAAAATAAAATTTTTAGCTTAGCATAGTTCATTGAATCAGGTTAGACCATTAGCATCTCACTCAAAAATGACCAGAGTTTTGTAAATTTTTCTATTTAAAGCTTGAGTTTCTGTAGTTACACTGTGTAGACGGACTGAAAATGATAAAGTAGCTAATAAGTAATAAAAAAAACACTTTTTGCTTAGCTTAGCATAGTTCATTGAATCAGATTAGACCATTAGCATCTTACTCGTCAATGACCAAAGAATTTTGATAATTTTTCAATTTAAAGCTTAACTCTGTAGTTATGTCGTGTAGAAAGACTGAAAATTAAAAGTAGCTCATTAGAAATAAAGGAACACTTATAACTTAGCTTAGCTTAGCATAGTTCATCGAATCGGATTAGACCATTAGCATCTCACTCAAATGACCAAAGCGTTTTGATAATTTGTCTATTTAAAGCTTGACTCTTCTGTAGTTACATCATGTAGGCTGACTGAAAATTAAAAGTAGCTAAATAGAAATAAAGGAGCACTTTTAGCTTAGCATAGATCATTGAATCAGATTAGACCATTAGCATCTCACTTAAACGACCAGCGTTTAGATAATTTTCCTATTTAAAGCTTGAAACTTCTGTAGTTACATTGTGTAGATGGACTGAAAATTATAAAGTAGCCAATTAGTAATAAAGGAGCACTTTTAACTTAGCTTAGCTTAGCATAGTTAATTGAATCGGATTAGACCATTAGCATCTCACTCAAAAATTACCAAGGAATTTTGATAATTTTTCTATTTAAATCTTGAATCTTTTGTAGTTACATCATGTAGATGGACTAAAACTTAAAACTAGCTAATTAAAAATAAATTAGTACTTTTAGCTTAGCTTAGCATAGATTATTGAATCAGGTTAGACCATTAGCATCTCACTCAAAAATGGCCAAACAATTTTGATAATTTTTCTGTTTAATGCTTGACTCTTCTGTAGTTACATCATGTAGACAGACTGAAAATTAAAAAGTAGCACTTAAGGAGCACTTTTAGCTTAGCTTAACATAGATCATTGAACCAGATTAAACCATTAGCATCTCGCTCAAAAATGACCAAAGCGTTTTGATAATTTGTCTATTTAAAGTTTGACTCTTCTGTAGTTACATTGTGTAGGTAGACTGAAAATTAAAAGTAGCTAATTAGAAATAAAGGAGCACTTTTAGCTTAGCTCAGCATAGATCATTGAATTAGATTAGACCATTAGCATCTCACTTAAACGACCAGCGTTTAGATAATTTTCCTATTTAAAGATTGACACTTCTGTAGATATATACTGTAGATGGTCTGCAAATTAAAAGTAGTTAATTTAGAAATAAAGGAGCATTTTAGCTTAGCTTAGCATAAATCATTGAAACGTATTAGACCGTTAGCATCTATCTCAAAAATGATCAAAAAGTTTAAATAATTTTCCTATTTAAAGCTTGGGTTTCTGTAGTTACACCATGTAGACGGCCTAAAAATAAAAAAGTAGCTAATTAGTAATAAAGGAGCCCTTTTAGCTTAGCTTAGCATAGTTAATTGAATCAGGTTGGACCATTAGCATCTCACTCAAATGACCAGAGTTTAGATAATTTTCCTATTTAAAGCTTGTTTCTTCTGTAGTTACATTGTGTAGGTAGACTGAAAATTAAAAGTAGCTAATTAGTAATAAAGGAGCACTTTTAGCTTAGCTTAGCATAAATCATTGAAACGTATTAGACCGTTAGCATCTATTTCAAAAATGATCAAAGTTTAGATAATTTTCCTATTTAAAGCTTGAGTTTCTGTAGTTACACCATGTAGATGGCCTAAAAATTTAAAAGTAGCTAATTAGTAATAAAGGAGCCCTTTTAGCTTAGCTTAGCATAGTTAATTGAATCAGCTTTGCAGGACACAAGGCCCTCCAGGAACGAGGTTGGGCACCCCTGGTGTAGATGGGCTGAAAATTAAAAGTAATGATATGTCTAGGAACTACACTCTCATTCTGGTGTAATAATCAAGGAAACTTGCTTCAGTACCACGACTTCAGCAGGTGCAATGATATTAAACAGTGCCTGAAAATAGTTATCAATGTCTTACAAAGTTATTGATATAGGGTTTATGCCGAGCTAGTGTTTTTCCCATACTGATAAACATCCGGTGACATGTTATTGTGAACTTTTTTCCATTTTATACAGTTCCTTTTACAGCATTGATGTTGTAATGTCATTAAAACACATTCAGTTAAATAAACTTTGGCATTCATTAAGTTGCTCAAGTGTAAAACAAAACAAAAAGCTGTTTACTCACACGCGCCCGTCAGAATCGGCAGGCTAGCGCAGAAGCTCCATTGAATATACTGGGGTAAAATAAATGCTCATATTATAAAGACATGGCGGGGGAAATGTAATTTAATGCGGTGCTTCTTGTACAATCTGAGACCCACTTTATATCAGATATCACTCAGCTAGTGGAGATCGCTGATTTTAAAAGAAAACAGACCTTAAACGCGCTGATTTTTGCATTGACATACAATTCGCTGGAAGCGCTTAACCCAGGTAACTGGCAAATTAAAAGCCCCATTAAGGCTGATTTATACTTCTGCGTCAAACGACGATGGCGTTGACGCATAGCCTACGCCGTGGCCGTTGGCGTCGCTGAAGTGCACCTCTCAAAAAATGTAAGTACTTGTCGCAACGACGCGTAGTGCAAGCTCTGTGATTGGTCGGCTTGGTAGCGCTGACGAGTCTGGGCGGGACCGAGAGCAGCGCGAATGGCGCAAGCTTGATGCAGCGATTGTTTACAAGTGTGGAGTTGCGTAAAGGAGCTCCGGATGGAAAGTTTTGTTTTGTGTTTACCTCATAGTTAAAGTTGTTGCACGTCCGCTGGGTCCTGCCTCAAAATGAGCGAGTTTGAGCCACTTGTACATCCAGGAAGTGTTCAGGAAAAGCAAAACAAAGGCGAAGAAACTCGACACAGAGAAGGATTAACCTCACTGCTAACTAGTGTTTCAGAAGTGTTAGTGCAGACCAACAGAGACAGCGCGCAGAAGTATAAATGCACAGCTACACGCATTGCATGTGCCGTGGGTTACACCGGTCGCTTGACGCAGAAGTATAAATCAGGCTTTAGCATGTTTGGCATATACCCTATTAGCAAGTCTTCTAAAACAACGTATGCATTTGGTTTTTCCAGTGTAATTGTGATGTCCATGTCAAATAAATAAATAAATAAACATGTTTCTATGGTTGCTGATATGAGAGTATAGTTTCTATAACTATCAAGTTAAGTTTTTGGATTGTACACAGTGTTGCTTTTAAAAGTATATTGAGTAACACAGTGGAGATGTTCTAAATGTAGGAGCACACTTTAGCTTTAGGCAGTTCCTCTTCGACTTGTCAATCGTAAATCTGTTTTCTTGACTGATTGCAGGTACAACACTCCTCAACACAAGGACTTTGACGACCTGGAAAGGAAATACTGGAAAAACCTGACGTTTGTGTCGCCTATTTATGGCGCAGACATCAGTGGGTCACTCTACGACCCGGTTAGTCAACATTTACTCCATTTGACTTTCAATGGTTTGCTGTGATTTCAGTGCAAGTGAACCTGCAGCAACAGAATGTAGAGTGTAATGTTGATTACCATCTAAAATCATTGTGACTTGTAGCTCAGATGTTTTTATTTCCTTCTAAAAAGAAAATCAAAGATGCATCCACACATGTGTGCTCAAGTTGTGTTCAAGTTATAAATGCAGAAATGCGCATGGAATCAGAAGAATTTTTGCGCAATAGATAACACGTTCAACATATCAAAATACACTACCTGACAAACGCCTTGTCGTCGATCCCAGTTGTAAGAGCAGCAAATAGTAACTTGACTTCTAGTTGATCATTTGGAAAAGTGTCAGAAGGTGGATTTTTTAGATGGATCATCTGTTGAACTGCATCCCGATCATCACAAATACTGCAGAAGACCTACATGGACCCAAGATTCTCATAGAAATCAGTCAAGTTTGGTAAAGGAACAATCATGGTTTAGGGTTATATTCAGTATGGGGCGTGCAAGAGATCTGCAGAGTGGATGGCAACATCAACAACCCGAGGTATCAAGACATTTGTGCTGCCCATTACATTACAAACCACAGGAGAGGGCAAATTCTCCAGCAGGATAGCGCTCCTAATACTTCAGCCTCCACATCAAAGCTCC